GTTATTGCCCTGAAGATTCCGCGGATCGCCCTGCTCCAACGCCGGCGGCAACACGTCCTGGGGCTTGCCTGTCTGTCCTTTCTCGTTCAGGATCAACACGGCGCCAACCTTTGCCGGAAGTGCGCCTTCATACCTCACTTCAGTGGAACGGCACGGCCTGCTGACCTGAGAGAACGCCCTTCGCCCGTGCCTATCGACTTTCATTTGCGGCGCGGCCTACCGACCGAAGATCAAGGGGGGCCGGATCCCGTGCAATAACGAACAACACTCGTCACGTCGCCCATCCCCTTTTTTCTGATTGCCCGCAGCATGCGGAGGCGTCGACCGCTGGTACGGCGAGCAAAAGCGTAGCTATATATAATATGCGTGCTTAGTACATCAAGTATGCTTTCATCTGGGGCGGGGCCGGTGGCTGCCAGCTGGGCCTCCTCCGGCGTCCATGGCACTTGTCGGACCGTGGCCTCCATTCTGTCCGTCGCCAGCCCGTTTGAGCCGTCGCTGCTTCAACAGATGTGCGCATCATTCCAGGGAATCTGGTGACAATCCAGTTGATTCCCCATCATCTGCGAACCTGATGCTATGCTTCGGACTGGTCTGGACTGGGTAAACTGGCATGCTGTTGACCACCAGGCTGCTGGCGCAGATGGCCGGCTCAAGTCGACATCGGCATCCGAATGCGCCTGACATCTGCAGACCTCGCTGCTGGGCGCAAGCTGCCTACAGCGACATATGGTTCCTCCTGAAAGCTATTCCATCAGGCCCTTCAGTGAACCCTCCGCCTGGCATCAGCTTGAAACAACACTATTCAAGCAGCTCGGCAGGTTAATTACAGAGGCAAGCCAGCGCTGTGCCCGAAATCACCCACGGCAAACGCTGCCGTCCAGTCCGGGCCAGCTAGGCACCTTGTTCCGCCTTCGCTCCGGGGGCACCCACCCTTCCCCCTCACCCAATTTTCGAAAATGGAGCAGCAATCCCGAGAGCGTTCAGCGCCATCTCGTTCCGGCGACACGCCAAATTTCTCTTTAATCAAACTCGCGCTGCCCCGGGCCTGGGCCTTTGCTTTACCCGCCCGTGCTGAGAGCGGACTCGCGCATTGCGACCCACCCCGGCCGTCCATGGCAAGCACGCAACTGATTCTCGCGAGATTCATCATCTACGGCTACTCTCACGGCAGATTCAACACAAGTCTCAGACCCAAACTGGTTCGATTTCTCGCAGAAGTGTGCATCAACCTGCTGTTACCCTCACGAAAGCGAACCCGCCGCCAATCGCGAGGCCGTCGCCGTGCAGGAGGTATCGGAAAGTGGGAACACCGGCGACATCAACCTGGAGCGCTCGGCTCGCTGCCCTCGGAGCAGCCCCCTGCGCACTGTCGCCCGTCGAATAGGGGGCCAAGCCGAGTGTGCCGCAGTTGCAACCCCCCAGACAGGAAAACCCAAAGCCCACGCAGACAAGCTTCAGCCTTTATCCGCGCTGTAGGGCTCGGTGCTTACAGCATACTTTAGGGCTTCTGGTACGCTGGCTGGGGGCTTCCGATAGTCCACGCAGTTGAACAGAGAACACAGCAAAACGAAGACAATGAACAAATGAGGGAAAGGAAAATTCGATACAGAAGGGCCCAAATGCTGCATCATGGCCATTACTCCAGGTCATCCAGCTGGCTGGGAAGCCCCATATGTCTGCCCCCCTCTTTCTTGGGGCCTCGCGACGTTACTCTTGTTCGGCCGGGCGTCGTATCCCACGATGCGGGACGTCTGATGTCTTGCCCGGCGACCGAACAAAAGCCTATTGGAGATGAACTCGGCAGATGCAGAGACAAGGGGTTTTCAGGTTCTTCTTCAACGCAGCGTTTGGTTTATTCCGAGTTCATCCTCGGCTGGCGAGAATGGCGACAATTATCACTGGACCGCCTTGCTCCAGCATCTGGGGCCAGATTGTTCTTGGCGGCGCGCTTCGTTCGTGCGATTTCGGACATGTACCTTCGCTTCCGCCCTCCGAAGAAAATTGTTTCTTCTGGGGCAGCTGCCGTAGCACTCCCGGCAGCTTGGCCAATGCGGTTGCTTCCCTCCAGAAGCCGCGCCGACCCGGGGCGTGCCAGTGCGGTTCGTTCAGCCCATTTCAACGCAGCGGTCCGCGGCACAAACAAAACGAGTGAGACCTGATGAGCCCTTCCGCAGCGTCATCTGAAACCCAACATCCGACACGGTGCTCTGGATTGTGTGACCTGCTCGGGCGTTTCCCCCCAGTGTTCGTTCAGAAACAGACAACAGTTCCATCGGCCACCCGTCCGCATGTTCTGGACACCCAAAGCCGTGGACGTGCCGACGGAGGCGCCAGCGACCGGAGCAGCCCACCGTCATGCCATTGGGAGGCGTTCAGCGCTGCGGTGCGCTATTTACAAACGCTTGTTGGTCCTCAGGCGGTCAAGACCCGGGCCTGGGGGGGCTTGGAGCAGGTCACCGTCAACCGCATGTCCGTAGGGAACCCGTAAGCTGATGGTCGCTGACGATGCCACGCTTCCTCGCTCCGTCTTTCCCGGAGGTAGCGTCCACTTTTCCCTGCCCCTGTTGGCCCCCATACGGAAGCTCTGCTCAGAGGCAGAGCGCCCGGAGTTGATGTCATTTTCCAACACACCTCCGCCTTGGTCTCGCTCTTCTGCCCCGTATTGTCTTGGTTGATATGCACGTAGCCCCGGCGCGTAATCCTCCTTGGCTTTCACGGACGTGGTATCACGGGATTTGCCCGGCACTCACTCGGCGGTACCTCTGGGCTCTGCCAATCTCGCGGGATAGTGTCTTCTCTTCATGGAGGCTCACTGGCTTCCTCATCAGAGGGCTAGAAAACTGATGGCCATCGGAACGGATGCAACCAACATTCACTGCTGGATCACCCGGGTCCTTGCGGGCGGGCGCCCGAGGAATGCGCATGTCCTCGGAATTGCGCCGACCCCGCCCTGTGCAGATCTGCCAGAATCACTACCAAAGGTGGTGAATGGGAATCAAACCAGCCGAAACGATGGCATTTCTCACGCGACCGGCGATCAGTGCACCGACCAAGCAAGCCCTGGGTGGTGTTTTGGCCTTATGGCCTTGCGGCATCACGATTTCCATTATGTGGGTCCTTCCGGAATCTCTTCCGCCGGTTTCCGGAACACCGGTGCGGGCACGGTCCACTCGGTGAGGCTTCGATCCCGCCCCAGCCACTCGCAACCAGCAATCAGGCTCATTCAAGGCCGCAGCGGCTCATGTTTGGCAACGTGATTTGCATGCGTGACGCCCTGCAGAATCTCATGTTTTTTTCTAATTGTTCCAAGGGCACGGCAAAGCAAGATCTGCCTTGACCATCTGGCGACAACGGCAGGCAGAGTTCCACAACATACGGCCGAACAAACGGGTGACACCATTTCTAAGACTCTGTGCCTTGGAAGCCCGCGCAACATCGAGGGCCGTATCCGACCGGATACCTTGCGGCGGACTTTCCTGCCCTCCTCCCTCGGAGTTTGGACGGCATTCTCGCTTTCCCACCCCTGCAAATCGACTTCTCTAACGGGTGTGGCACTCGGCTGATCTGTGACGTGTAGAGTGGTTCTGTCCCCCGCAACTTTGATTACCTCCTAACGGCGCCGTTGGGCCTTACCGGCCTGCCGACCTGGCCGCTGGTCGTGATCCTGCTGCAATTGATTATCCTATCATTCGCGAGGATTATCAACGTTGACCGTCTGCAAACACTCCGTCCGGACGGCGAGGTTCTGACAAATTGATCGGCGATAAGGCTGAAAATCCGAAATGACTTTTCGAATTCGGAGGCGGCGGGACCCTCCCGGCAGCATTCCGGATATGTCAGCGGGGTCCTAAAAAGCTCCGTGGTCCGATGCTGCCGAATTTGGGCTGCCCTTGCGCATTCGGCTTTTGGGACAGTCGCTGCTGTCAAATAAGCTTTGCCAATAGATTGGTGTTTTTCAAGATGGGTGCCGGGCCGTTTCCGAAGGTTTTGAATCGCGGCGGTGGTCTCACTCAGCACCACCTTTCTCCGGATGTGATCGGGAGCGGTATCGGGTGGGTGACTGAGTGGTTGAGGTGACGTTCGGTGTGCGTCTCGTATTTCCAAGGTGAAATGCTTCCACTGAGGGATTGACGTCTTCTGAGCGTAGGTTTCTGAGTCAGAAAGATGGGTTGGTGATTCGTCTTCGTATTGCTTGATGCATCTGGTCAGCAACACAGTGACCCGAGTCTCTCATTTTGGTCAATATTCCTTCGACTTCCAAATCACCAGCAATCGGACATTTTGGGGATGAGGGAGGAAGCGGTCCAGAGAAAGTAGCATGAGGAACTTGAACAGTGACGAATTTTGCGTAAATAGGTGGTATTTCTACTTCAATGCCACTGCCTCAGTACGACCTTCTCTTTCAGTTCAACAATGGTCAAGCAGCCCGAGCATGAGATGGCAGCTGACCGGAACATCCGAGTCGACACGGCGCTTTCGACGCCGATTCCACCGATGAGTGCCAGTAACACAACCTGAGCCTCGTGTTCTGTAGAGATTGTAGCTAGCAGAACGATTGGATGATGCCTTGTGGGGTAGACCATCAAGACCATGGCAAGGCCTCTACAAGTGCTTCCTCATACGGACAACGCCTCTTCCTTCAAATTAGAATCACTCTATTCCAAATGCCGTGAGATAGTGTGGTCTGGGGAAGTCTGGGGGAAAGCTTAGGCTGCCCTCCCCCGCACTTTCCGGCGGACGTGCGGCATTGCCGGTGGGGGAGTCTGATACGCCGCACGGCAGGAGGATTGCTCGACTACCACGACGGCGACAGGAGGCACCGATCCGGTCCGCTTTGTGATCGGAAAACCCGGGTGTGAGGCGTTGCTGTGCTATCGACGTTGATGAATAAAGTTGTTTGCTCGTGCAGCAACTGAGAAGATTGATGTTGAGTTTTGTAAACTGGTTACTAACTCAACTCAATCCCAACGACATTGGCACTGGCATTACATACAACGATGGGCGGTACTGTTGCGGAATCACGTGTCGTCGAGATGGTCTTGAATAATCCTGCCCTCGCGATCTTGGGAGCAGTCATTCTTGGACTCGCTGTTTGGGTACGAAGAAGAAAAAAGTCGACGAAGAGATTACCGCCACAACCACCTGCCACACCCGTCCTCGGACACCTGCCGGAGCTGATCCGCGAGAACAAGACGAGGACGTGGCATTTGCGGCTGAATGAGTGGGCGAGGACGTATGGGCCGATATTCGGGGTCAGATCCGGGTATATTGTTGATTATTATATCAACTCGGATGTGATGGTGAAGGTGAGCAACCTAAGTATTGGTTGTTCGGCATGGTCTGTTTTCAGGCGCGGAAGGGCTTTGTTGACTGGGGCGCAGGAAATATTCGACAAGAAGTCTGCGCAGACGGCGGACCGGCCGACGTGGATCATGTCAAGCACCATTCTGAACAACGACTTTAACGTGCTGTTCTTGAAGGCGAGCGACCCGACGTGGAAGGTGAGTAGAAAGTGGCCAAGCCTGAGGGAGGCAGTTTCGGCAAATCAACGATTACGGGGAAAGATGTTATGTTTGATGATGTAGCTTGCTGACGAGTGGTTGAAGAATCAACGCAAGGTTATCAACCAGCTTGTGACGAATGTCCAAAAGGCTGACGAGATCATTCCGTGAGTCTGCGAGTCTCGGATCGCGAGACGGAGAGATTCTGGTGCTTACTGCGGCCGTGCCAGGTTATTGGAATACGAGACTTTGAAGTTCCTTCATGAGAATGTTACGGATCCCAAAGGCGGTCTTGCTGGCGCGAGACTGTATCAAGCCATCGGGAGGTACACGTACAGCGCTTTTGCAACGGCTTTTATGGGCATGGATGTAAGGCTCGTCTTCATCATGTGTGGACTAATAAGGTACGGGGTTGTTGACGCGACGATGGACCTAGATTCCCGATACGGACGATGCCGTTATCCCGTTCATCATGGGTGAGTAGAACCTTGTTTTGTACCGCCTTGTCCGGACGCTGACATTGAAGCAGAGGCTGAGACGCAAATCATCAGTACGAGTACCCCTATATGCGCTCAAGTTGACGGTTCAGGCCGACGAAGCTGACCACAGTCACGCAATCTCAGACACGTTTCCGGGCATGAACGTCATCGACCTGATGCCGTCACTTGGAAAGCTCCCCATGTTCTTAAAGCCTTGGGAGAGGAGGGGGCGCGCAAGGTATCGTAGAGATCTGGCTTGGGCGATGAAGAGACTCGAGGTAAGTCATACTCTTATCGAGAGGTCGATGTTTGAGAACCACGTCTGATACTTGGGTTGCAGGCTGCTCAAGACCGCCTGGCAAAGGGCGATCCGTCTTTGGAAAACACGTTTTGGGGCTCTGTCCTGAAGTCGGACGATCTGAGGGGGATGTCATGCAAAGAAGAGGTGGCCATTCTGGGGTTGTCGCTCATTGTCGGAGCTGCGGATACGGTGGGTTAAGCTCGACGCCTGCGATCCCCATTTCCGTGAATGTGACTGATCAAGAGAGCGCTTTCATAGAGCCGGATGACAACGTGGACATTCCTGGAAGCGATGATGATGTTTCCCGAAGTACAAGCCAAGGCCCGGGAAGATATCGGCAAGTCACTCGCTTTTCGTCTTTGGAGCGCTTGGGACAAACACTGACGTGCGAGGGAACTTAGATCGAGTCGTTGGCGAGAGGATACCCGTCTATGATGATCTCAAGAGCATCCCCTACCTCCGCATGATGATGAAGGAGCTCTGGAGATGGCGGCCTCCGGTGGCCCTCGGCCATCCTCACATTACCGCGCGAGATCTCCAGGTTGGGGAGTATTGCCTGCCGAAAGGCGCGAGGCTTCATGTCAACGCATAGTGTGTCGATATCACGCCTGCGATGACAGAATTCGAGGGAGACTGACATGATGCAGCGCCATAAGCCACGACCCCGCGAGACACGAGGACCCAGAGCGTTTCTGGCCGGAGAGGTTCAAGGACGACGAGACCACGACGATGGAGAGCATGAACCACCAAGACCCGACGAAGAGGGATCACTTTGCGTTCGGGGCCGGCCGACGCGGTTGTGAGCTGCCCCCGTCCCCTCGATTGAACAGGTTCCAGTAGAGGCTTTGCTAAGAGTGTGCTAGGTCCGGGATACCACGTCGCTGAACGGTCTTTTGTGATCACCATGATGCGCATCCTCTGGGCATTTGATATCGCTCCGGCGCCGGGGACCAAGTCGACGTTGGAGTTTGCTGACTACGCCGGCGAGTTGCCCGGAAATCCTGCGGAGGATATGCCAGTGAAGTTGACGTACAGGAGCGAAAGTCGGAAGAAGATCGTCATGGACTTTTTTGAGAGGGAGACTGCGGCTAGGCCGGCTATGGTAAGTTCACGCATCTGTCTCGCGAATACATTGGTAGATTTGGAGCTGACGTCGAGTGCAGATGCCGTTGAATATGGGCGAGAAGAGCATACCCAAACCAGAGGAATATTTGTAGGCAAGTTGAAGGGAGGGGAGTGCATGCTACCACAGAAGAAATCAGAAACCTGTTTTCTGAACCAAACACTCGCCCGTGGTTGAAATAGGCATTCTTCGCCTGCGGCAAGTCGGATCGCTAAACAAACCTTGTGAAGACCGTCATTTATCCAAAGCCCAGATGATCTCCTAAAGGGGCAAGCGGAGGCCGGGATGGCCCCTCTTTATGGTGTGGGGCCGGTGATGGTGCCCCCGGAGGCCCCCTGAGTGTTTCTCGGGCAGTTGAATCATCCCGGGCGTTAGATCTGGGGTAGAACTATACGTATGGATATTGTGCAGTGAGTGATGAGTATCTGGCAGGTTTTGGTCATAGGATGTAGAACGGCAAGGCAACAAAAGCACTGGGGGGCGGGTTCATATAACAAGGCCACACTGCATTTGGCTTCCTCTCACACGCGAAGACGGAGGACTTTTGGGTAATGAAACGATTTGTGTTGTTATTGTATATATGTGTACATGAATCGAAGTTACGTGTTGCGAATAACGGCAGACGTTTCCCAACTGCCTGCTTGCTTAAGGGCATCCAGGAGCACCGCTGCCGGTGTTGGCGCCAGCGGGATCACAGCAGCCCTGAGAAAGCTATGTCACAAGTCAGCAACTACAGGAAGCTTCGTCGTGGTTTCACGTTATCAGAAAGGACGATGAAAACTCACATCGTTTGGTCCCAAGTAGTTGCAGCAGAGGAAGTATTGTCCCCACTGTGTGGCAAAGGGATACGGGTGGTCAAGAGAGCCCCATTTCTCGCACTCGGGGCTGACCTGGCGCTCTTGGATGGCGGCACCGGCGACGAGGGGGACGATAAGGGCGATGATGGAGAACTTCATGGTGAAGATGTGTGTGGAATTCTAAAAGAGACGGGCGGAGTGAGATGTCAAGTCGAGTGAACTGATAATAATTCTAGGCCATTACTTGGGAAATTGAGTCTCTTATATATTGACTTCGGGCATCACACTGTTTTCCTGGATTCCCTTGGAAGTGACTCCTCATCGGATGAACGACCGACCGCGAGTGTGGAGCCGTCAGCGTGCAAGTCAGGCCGCGTCCGTGGATATGGTTATTATTGAGTTTCGGCCGATGGGTAGAGACTACCGGTCCATTTTCCCTATTAGGACAGTGAATGAATGTAAATCCGTGGTTGCAGAACAATTCGGATATGTCGCTTGCATTCTCACTGGTGATTCCTGCTGATGTTCCCCGGTTTCCATACCCTCCAGCCTTTAACCGAGCTCTCGGTTCCAAGCAGAGAATCGTCGGCATAAGATACTACCTCGCCTCCAGTGATGATCCGCAAATCTAAGTGACACAGGAGGGCCGATCCCAGTACGTTCATACGTCACACGGACCAACAAAACCGACCTGCCGGACTCGGCTGCGCTGTTTGTGGCATGTCCTTGTCGAACTGCATTCTCTTGACAGGCTGTCCACAGTAACCGCGCGGGCGCTTGGGAGACTTGCCATATTGAAGACGTGAGAGCAATTCGCGACGGCCGTGGTTCAGATGGCCGTGCACTTAGGTTTACGTGACACACATGGGTGACCTTACTGCTTCAACATGGACCTTGAGTGGCAAACATGGGATCTTCATTCTCGTTTGTAAACTTAAATTCTAGTCAACAATTATTTCGATCTAACTTGGGTTCCAGCGATGTTGCCATACATGTCAACGATGACGCCTTGTCTAGAGATATCACTCGAAGAGCTTTATCTTGTCTTAGAAACCTCCGAGCTCCCTCGCAGCCTGTTTAAAGAGCTCCTTCAGATCTTCTTCGCTCAGAACCCTGAGACCCAACTTTTCATTCCAAGACAACTTCTTGAAGTCAGTGCCTCCGTACCCCTCGCTGTACATCATTGGGAAGTAATAGGTGATCATCGCAGACTTGTCTCCATTGGCCAGCCTCTCGTTCGCGTCGCGGACCATATCCTCAACCTTCAGATTGGGGATGCGGCCGTCCTCGACGCTGCCAAAGTCGATACCGGTCGCCTCGGACGCAAGTCGGGTCAGCATCTTCTCGCTGATGGCAGCGGAGTAGAAGTAGACCGGCTTGTTGGCAGTCTCCTCAAAATGGCCAGGCTCAAGGATCTTGACCAACGCGGTGCCGATATCAGGGAGCAGGGATGCACCGACAACCTTTTCACCGCCGTCGTGGAAAGTAGCTGTCTTCTGCATCAAGTTGGGGCCGAGAATGCCGAACTTGAGGCACAGCTCGAGGAATGCGCCGTTGTTGATGGATGTCCATGTCGTTGAAGAAGAAGCTGAGACCACAGATTCGAGGTACTCGCGAACCGCAACCTTGCCAAGGACGTGAGGCAGCTTGCGAGAAAGAGGGGTGTCCAGATTGGTGGTAAACTCGGAGGGAATGATGCGCTTCACTGAGGCTGCGATGGCGGCGTCGATGATGACCTTGTCTGAAGCGAGAGTCGGGTTTGGAACAGCGCTGATGCGGCATCAGTAGTTGATGCAAAGTAATGCAGAGCTCTGAGGGTTCACTGGGCCTACCTGACGAAGACATCCTGCCCCTTGAACACGGAGACGAGGTCATCGAAGCTGGTCAGGTCAACCTTGACAGACTTCACGCCCTGAGGCGCTTCCCTCGTAGATTCCTTGCGCTGGATAACGGTGACAGAGTGCCCAGCACCAGTCAATGCTTTCAGCAAGTGAGGACCCAGTGTCCCGGTAGCCTAACAGTAATTAGAGACGTCAAGATCTAGATGCTTCAAGAAAAGGTCCACCCTACCCCGAGGAGTGCAACGTTTCTCACGACTGTAGCCATTGTGATGGGTAGGAAGGTATAAAGAATAGAGCTTGTGATAAGGTGTTGTTGTTCGAGAAGCCAGCGTACCAATTCACGAGATATGCTCGAGCGTTTAAATAGTTGGGAACAATTCGGATCTGACTCAAGTTGGAGGCAACCATACTATCTTGAACCGGCGACCGTAGCGATCCGTACCGCTATCGATTCCTCCATTCTCATATGAGAAGGTTTCGATTGGCCCATCATCTCGGCGTCCGGAGGGCTCCGGTGATTGTGCCGATTCCACATCGGGGGCCCCGACTGACAGCTGCTCCACTCGGCGTCGGTCGGAGGCCGTATGCCTCATGTGGAGCTTGACCGAGCTGGCTCCAACATAATAGAAAAATGCGGACAGATTTGTGTACTCAAACATCTCGCATCCCTGCATCACGTATTGGAGCTGCGGACTTTGAGCGGACTTGATACGTGATGTCAAAACTCCGCCCTGATGAACCTGATTTGGCTACGTCCTGTGCTGCTCCATAGAAACGACGAGGCTCTGCGTAACACATGGTTCCACGGCCCATACCTCCTGCGGACTTCAAAGTGGGCTGGGCATGTTTAAACTCTTACAAATACCCGAAAAAAGATGCAAGCAACGACAAAACAACATAATCACATAAGCGTCAGCTGTCCTCAATGTCTTCCACCTCAGATCATTTCCCTTTAATGACATCATGTGATTCGATCAGTAAATGCTTTAGCCGTGGCGACTTTGTGCTCAAATACTGCTTCAGCGGGACTTTGTATGTCTACCTTCGCCCACGCAGCAGGTGAACCACCTCATTTTGAATTCATCTTGAATAGGTATTGCTCGAATGAGCAGCTCAGCAGTGGAGGTTTTATGCCGTGGTTGACCTGTAGCCGTAAGGCCATTCATAGTGTCGACAGAGGGGCGTAGATGATATCAGCTATCCTGACACATCCCCTGACGCTCGCTGCGTTTTTGAGGCTACCTTAGGACCTTTATTCGAACCGTCCTACCTAGTTAAGACGTACACACAATGACCATGAAGATATCAAATATAAACGAGCTGGAAGTGTGATGAATTATTTAGCTGAGATTTTATCATCTGCTAGCTGGTCCCTCTCTAGCTTGCTTAGGCCCTATGAGCAAGCTCAGCGGCTCAACATGGCTCTTGGTCAGCAAGAGCGGCGCCAGTGGGCCCCTCGGCTGACACTCTGATACCTGGTGGCTGCGTTGGTTTCCATGCACTCCCGGACTTGCATGTTGCCACATTCGCTGCCCTTGAGGCGCGTATCTGAAATATGCCATCTCTACTCATCGTCCGAGGATTCCTCTGGATTCTGACCGTTCCTTTGGCGATTTGTCTCTCACATGCTGGCGTCCCTGTCTTTGGGGAATGTAGGAAGATTGATTGATACCCTAGTATGTCTCTGGCTGGTATCCTGACGATCTGTCCGGCTTCCGTCTTGTGTGTTCTAGGGGGGAGTTTCCCAGCTAAGCGAGAGTAACTAATGAGACTGATCAACGCTGGGTACTGATCAGTTAACAGCCTTACGGGAGTACATGACTGGAGTAATCCGGAATCACTGCGGACTACTCCGTGTTACGCCCGTTGCAGTTGATCCCTGCAGGCACATGGCTGCATAGTGCGGTGCAGGGGGCAGGGGTGCCGGAGGCACCATTACCGAGCCTTTTGTCTTGTGATGCAGTTAGTTCCCCTGATCTGCTCGTAAAACTCGGCCAGCCCGGTGACATGAGAGCGTTAAACTGCCAGTTAAGCAGAACTTACAACGGCCGGTCCAGGCTTGGCGCGATGGTCGGATGTGAAGGCCTCCAGATAGAGCCATAAATAGGTATAGCTAGATACATGGGATAATGGATTCAGAATGCTGAGGTTCGTTCTCTCTCCGCTTGTAGGAGAAGCTAATGATAAAGAGACTGAAGCGGGATCTTGCAGATATTCCTAGGTACTCCTTGACCGCCGAAGGCAAGACCAAGATTCAGGCCTCGTTCAATAGCCTCGTATGACTTGTCGAGTCAGGCGCTAGACAATAAGATGAACTCTCTTACATATCTGTGCCTTGCTATGAGTTGCAGCTCGGATAAGTTGCACTTTGTGAATCGAAATAGAACCATCCGTTTAAGGTTTGGAGAACCCCCCCACACGTTCGTCTCAACACAAATCTATATGACACGCGTGTCACAAGGCCAGGCTAATCAACAGTGATATCAGGCGAAAGCTTCAATAACAACTATGGATCAATGCTGAATTGTTGTGGCGAAGGGAAGGTGAAATATAAGAACCGAGAAACCCTCGCAGTAGACTACAGTTGTTCATCACTCTCAAGCACTTCCCACAATAGGTTATCAGCTTTGCAACACCAATCAACGCACAGTACAAACCCTCAAAATGCAGTTTTCCAGTCTCTTGTTTCCTCTATTGGGCGCATCACTTGTGTCAGCCGGCTGCAAGACTTGTCTCGGCATCAGTGGCACTGTAGCGTGTGTGAACGGCAAGGACGACACATGTTTGGTCGGCAGAATAAGCAGCAATATTCCCTTCGGTTGGAAGATTTGCTGTGACGATCCGACATATAGTATTATTAGCTGCAACAAGTCGTGTTAAGGTATGCGATGCACAACTTCCAACAATTCGCGAAAGACGGGGAAACTGACACGGGAGTACATTTAGCGCGGCGCACGGCAGGATTATGATGTTGTAGTCGGCTATCTGACAGCATGGTCTGCTGACAGATGTTGAGAGTTCACGGTGTGCATCAGTTATCGCAGGTTTCTGAATGTGGTTTTCATACATCAAAAGACGAGGTGCCAAGGGTTGTCGTTATCACTCATAGACTAGAAAGTGTAAACTCGCGGTAGAGGGCAAATTGACAGCATTCCAAACGGAAACCCGTCGATTTTTGAAGCTCCAGAATTCTCATCTCGAGTGAAGTTTGATATATGTCCTGAACAACCATTCCTGCGGGGACTCTGACGCATTTTGTCATGGACGCTATTGGATGCAAACTTGCGGGAAAAAGCTGATTCGGAAACTCAGCCCCGAATCCTTCTTGATCAGCATAGTGATAGATAGTGAGTTACCCCTGCATGATGCGTTACCTGATTTTGTGCTTCCCCACGATTTCCCCTTTCGGGCCACCTGATTGCAGGCAGCTGTAGAAAAAGCAATGTTGATTGAAAATTCGGACTGTATTTCCAGATCGCAATTGGTTGGTTTCACCTCTCAGCGGGTCTGACAGCTCGCTAGTAGTCCGCAGTTGCTATCATATGACGACTTTGTGGTGGCCTCCGCAAGGCTCCCGATAGAAAATTGAGGGAAATTAAAAACAAAACAACCGCAGTATCCGTGGCCAAATCTGTCGGCTCCGTCGCAAGCATCATCTTCATAGTCACTACCACTCACTCGCCTTCATCCCAAAACCGAGCAATGACAGGAGGTTGTCTTGGAGAGTCGGACTTCATGGCGTGACAAACCGAACGATTCTAAACAGGAATACGTGCACGGAGTCAAATTGTCTCACCATACTACTCCTACGCGATGATTCCCGACGGCTCTAGCTGCTCTGAGGACAGCAACTCGACCGACTGTCTCCTGCGGACTTTACTCCAGTTTCTGAACGAGCAGCACCGAGAGGAAGATGCCCAAACTAACTGGGATCCGACCACGTTCTGGTTTACGGTTCCTGTCGGTGTGCTTGCCACCATGTTTGCCGTTACCATGATCCTACAGGCTGTTTTTGCGGCGGCGAAAGGGCGACGAAAGACCAATGAACGAGCCATTGGAAGGTGGTCTCGGAAGACCAAGAAGGGATGGAGTTGGTCGGAAATGGGGTTCGAAGTAACAGCACGGACTCCCATATTGCGAACAGGAACTCTGCTAGAGCACGTTATGGCCCGACAATCGATCTTTGAGGGGATGGATCCAGACAGTAGGACGTTAGACGGTAGCGTGGACACGATGAGTAAAGGCGAAACAGGTGAGGCTGATGCCTATACACAGGTAACATAGAGACGGAGAGGAATTGTAAGACAAAAGAGCATATCGAACTGACCTCATCCAGATGCACTGGTGGCAAAACATTCAAAAAGTATGGAGTGACAGCACTGGAACAACCTACCGGAAATCCTCATGTTTGTCGGCATTACAGACTACACTAGGTTCAGGAAATCAACGCTGGAGTTCCTATAGCGATCTGGCTTATTCAACTACCCGAGCCAGGAGTTGGTTTCGTTCCGTCTCCGAGGACACCTCTGCGGCTGCTTGGATTGGCCTCTTCGCGGAAATTGGCCTGGACCGGGTAGAGCTAAACCTGGTTGACATGGGCAACGGCCTCCGTTCAGTCACGGCCGATTACCTCCCAGATGATATTGTGGCAGCGCCAGCGTACGCAGAGCTGGGAATTATTGTATCGCTCCTCGCGACGACAGGGGTCAGTTTTGGAGCCGTGGATGAATCTTCAAGATATCCTACCATTGTTGGCCGAGGATTTCAGTTCGACTTTCGTCAACACCCCATACTCGGCGTCGTTGGCGCCTATTCACGACACGAGAGGAAGGATAAGAGAACAGCGACTCCAGATCTCAAGGCTATTCGCATGGCATTGCTGAACGGAAACGGAATTATATACACAGCAGGTGGACTCCTGCTAGCTCGGGATGAGTCCGAGTATGGTCCCATTTACACCACTGTCCATGGATCGCAAGTACGATATGGTCTGAACTTGCTTCGACCATCGCGTTTCGAACGCAAGATCATTTCAACTCACATGAAAAAAGTTGCGAATAGACATTTCAACAAACAGGACTCCTTTCCACAAGGCCGAAATGTCATTCCAAGTGGCAAATTGCCAGTCGTCAGTCTCTTTCTAGCTGGCACACCGGACCACCCTCCTGCCATATTCCCCGACTCCAGCCTGGGGAGGGACCATGACTTAACAGCCCTTGCACTCAATGGAAGTTACTGGCCAAAGGTACTACTGAGTGAGACGAAGGAATTGAAACTCTCACAGTGGCGACTGTCCAGCGATCCCCCACCATGGAGCCACTTCGTTTGGTTCAATTTCAGTATCCCTGATAGAACAACTGCAGATAGCCCTGAGGAGCTCACCAAAATTGCACGGGTAGTACAATGGGCTTTCGATGACAAGAAGCTACGTGTCAAAGAAGCAAGAAACCTCGAGTATCGCAAAGCGGAACAAATCACCAAGAACAAGCACAAAGCAGAGGAAGCGGCCAAAATGACAGCAAAATTGGCTCAAGGAAGAAACCAACGCCATGATATGCTTAAGGCACAAAGAGCTGCCGAAGAAACAGCTTTGGCTGAGAAGATCAAAGCTGAAGCCTCCGCAGCACTACAAGCTGCTGACTTGGAGTCCAAGGAACCCATCAAAGGCTATCTTTTGGTTCTTCAATTGTGTCTCAAGTTACTTCACAGCCCGCAAAAGCTTAGGCAATGGTTCTTCAGGTTCCCAATTGGATTACAGAAGGCTCTGCGATGGGTAGTTCTTCAGCAAATGAAGGACGTCGACAAATGGCTTCAAGACAGGGGAAGGGATGATGTCGAGTTCCGCGCTGTGGTACTATGCAGCACGACATTGCTCTTACTGCACGCCGAGGAAATGGTCAATAATGTCCAAGATTGTGGCCCTGTCACCAGGTCCAGCTGTTGCCACTTTGATGGGCATGACTCTGGCCAGGCTACGACACACACTGCAAACCAGCCACATTGCAGACATGACACGGCTCGTTGTAGGCACTCAAAGACCCTACAAGCACTTGCAAACCTACTGAAGAGCTTCAACCTGGGTGAGAACATCTACGAGGCTCTGAACCCAGCATATGACAGGGAAGATAATCATGACGTAGTCAGTCCCGGGCCGGAGATCGCCAGCGGCAATGAGAAACTCCTTCATCTACACCTATTTGCTGAGAAAGCAAGGTAACATGGACGCCATTTGAAACACCTTACAGGGGTTGATTTCGAAGAAGGCTCTGACGTTGCCGGTTTGTATCAACTATTGGATAGACTGCAAGCAGTTTTGGTCCAAAATTCTGCTTCAAAGAACGATTGGTCTTCTTGGGACCAAGATCATGCCCATAGAGACCAGAACACAAGGGATGTCGACGATGTTATCATTTATCGATGTCTAATAGTAGCCTTTCTCTTTCGAACCGCCTCAGATAGTACCAAGATACTCGAGTCGGATCTGTGGGAACATGTTGTGCCTCTCATATAAGGCCAGCGAGGTGTAATTAAGCTAGGGTTTGTTTTAATCAGTTAAACTTTCAAGTTCTGTGACCAGCTGTTCGTTGTGCAAGATGGCTCATGCAAAAGGCCAATACGCCAACTCGAAGACGAATCCCGTTGTCATCTTCGCATGCTGGAGTGCATGATCGAAAGAAACATGCTCAATCGTATCGTTGGGGGTATGAATGTATGGATTGTGGTTTCCGAAAGGCGCCTCAAAAACGAACGATGAAGGATATCCGTTGCGGTTGGCCGACGCATGATCAGAGCAAGCATATCCGCAGACGGTCTCCTCATACGGGATGTCGGTGTACTGCATACCATTAGTCCTTCGCCACCACAAGTCTAGTCGACAGACTTACCGCATCAATCACCCGTTTCATGAACGCGACCTGATCAAGATCAACCCAGTCCGTGACGACACCGAATCTCTCGACCCCATCTCGGCCCACGTATCCGACCATGTCCTGGTTGAGCATGGCGACAACCTGACGGCGGCTCGCATTATACTGCGTAAAGATGTCCTGGCTACCAAGTAGTCCGGCCTCCTCGGCGCCGTACCAGTGGAACTCAACGGTGTTCAGCAACTCTCCCGCCGCGATTCTTGGATCCGTCAAGGCGACTCTCAGCACCTCGAGAATCATCACGCTGCCGGAGCCGTTGTCGTCGGCTCCGGGTGCACGTCCTGCACCTCTGTCCCCAGATATCACGGAGTCCAGATGGGCGCCGACTACAACGGTGCGTTGGTTCTGACCAGGGATCGTGACAATGATGCTGGGCTGCGACCAAGCAGTATGCCCCACGTAACGGACATTGGCGGTAGGATGTCCCGCGGCATCGACGATGGCGGAGATCTGGCCGAACAGCCACTCGGCAGACTCAACGCCCGTGCGAGAGAGGTAATACCTGTTGTGGAAGGCCGAGAAACGCTCCAGATGGGCTTGCATGCGAGACTTGTCGAGCTTGGGGATGAGCGCGTTGACGTGGCTTGTCTGGTTCATTCCAGTCGGGAACGGGAGAGCCGCCGCCAATCTGAAATCTTTAGTTGATGCCGCAGGGGCGTCAGGCCATTCCGTGATGTCGAAGAAGTGGATGCGTTTCTGGAAGTGTCAATAAAGGCATGTTATAGAGGCATGCGGCTACCTACGTCCATCATCTCCCACTTCTCCTCCTCTGTGACGGTGACCGTTTCGCCGGGCGCGGTCTCCAAGGTGAAGAGCTTGGAGGCATCGCGCGCAATGGATTCTGCCGCCGCAGAGGCAGCGAGACCCGCAAGGAAAGTTGTAGCGCGCATTGTGACAGACACGTTGAGCGGAGAACGAGACTCGGAATTGGGCACGTCGAGCGGCTGTTCCTTCAGATGATGCCCTCGCAGCTTTGGTCGATGATCTGGCCCAGAAAATGAAAGTGGGAGGTTGAAAGGTAGAAATATCCACTGAAGCCCAGCCTGAACCCTGATGTGCTCACATCCGTGTGAGCTATGCGGTGGTCAAAAGCCCTAAAACTCAATTCGATCTATTGATCGTCTGTAATGGACGTTCGCTTGGCGGCTGGGATATTCGTACTCTGAGCTGCATGTAAGACTTGGTGGTTGCCCGAACCCCTCACCGTCACCATCTCCCCGCGCGATTTCGTCCTTGGCTAAAAGTCACCTTCCGAATACAGTCAGTCTTGGCACCTCAGAAAAAGTGCCCGACGTCGGCGAGCAGCATGATGTTTGTTCAAAACATAAAGACAGGCAAGTGTCTGTCCGTAAGCCATGTCATTCGTAGTTCCGAGTGAAGAGGGCAGAGATCACTGAAAGTTCATAATAGTAAATCTTGCACATAATCAATCGAACGCGTCGCGAAGTTGAGATGGCGGGGAATCTGACGTAGATGGCAGATGATTCCAAGCGCTCGGAAGCCCGGGCCAAGGAACTCACGCTCTTGGCTACACAGGACCACCTCATTGGGTACACAGCATCCGTACCTGCAGATCTCCCAACCAAAATCTCGAGCATCCTCTTGTTTCCGCTGATAACAGCTGACCATAGATGTCTCGGGAAGCTGCCGAGTATCACCTCCTCATCCAAGGCCTCGGCGCGCTTAGCACTGCATCCGCATTCCAACTTCCTAATTTCCCTGACGAAAGGCATTCGCCATCTTTCTCACTGAGGATTCATCACGCACATTTCATCTAAGCCCATTGCTAACGGCAAGAACCCGGCTCTAAGAGTCCCAATCGACTACCCACTCTAAGACGTTCAATATTGAGTGTCTTGAGAGCTCGGGGCGTACTGAAGCTGAACATACCAGATATTTAACTCATTATGAGAGCTTTAGCTTGACCAGGTTCATTGAACAGGCACATTAAAGTAGTAGATATTTGAAAGCCGTGTGCTGAAGAATGATAAACTTGTACATTCGTGCAGGATCTCCCCGCAAATTCAATCGCATACAAAACCTTGCTTTATTCCTTGCTTCGTCAGAGTATTGTTTTACTCATACTCAATCAAGCCTACCACCTTTCATTCACCTATGTAGCCTGCCCAGCCAGCTTGCCAGTTGGTTTCTCCTCTTTAGATCAAGTTCAACAGTCGGTCAACATCTCCAAGGCTTCAATGAAAGCTTCTTCCATAGTGCAGTCTGACTGAGGTCCGTAAAGGTATCCTCGATGACTCGGATGGTGCGGTTGATTATTTCATCAATATCGCTCTCAGTCACGATGTAGGGAGGACAGATCAGGAAGTGGTCCCCGGCATATCCGTCATATGTTCCACCGGCATGGAATAGGGAGATATCGTATCCAGGCTGGAAACCTTTGGCGTGGAGCAGGTTGTTGACATCCAGGTTGGGAGGGAAAGGAGCTTTTGTCGTCTTTTCCGAAACGAATTCAACGGCCCAAAATAGCCCACGGCCACGCACATCTCCTACAAACGGGAGAGGAAGAATCCGGTCTTTGAGCTGTTGTTCGAGATACTTCCCCATTTTTGCCACATTACTGACGAGGTTGTGCTCCCGGATAATTTGCTGCGTTTTCAGGGCCGCGGCCACGGCCAGTGGATAGGCCATGTATACTTGACCGTGTGGAAAGGGCTTTCCAGCCCTCTTGAACGAGTTCACAAGGTCGGAGTTAACCAGAACAGCCGAGATGGCACCATATCCAGCGCCCAGGCCTTTTCCCACGGCCTGGATGTCTGGAGCTACTCCTTCCTGCTCCCACGCATGTAGAGATCCGGTGCGCCCCATACCGCACATGATCTCGTCGAGAATCAGAAGCGCACCGTACTTTTGGCAAACAGCCTTCATCGCTCTGAAGTAGCCGGGAACCGGAATTGCGCACCCACTCGCCTGACGTTCCAGTCAGTCTTGTGGAGCAGCACAGGCAAAGTGACAGACTCACACTTCCTCCAACTGTTTCAGCCACAAAGGCACAAACCTTTTCTGGACCGACCCTCTGGAACTCGTCGTCCAGCTCCTGGGCAAGTCTTTCGACATAGGCCTCTTCTGTCTCCCCATGCCGTAGCCCGCGATAGGTGCTGCAGGCCGAGACGTGCGTCGTGGTTTGAGGAACTATAGAGTTGAAGGGGTCCTTCCGAGGCTTCCAGTCTCCGAGTGCCAACGTGCCCAGGGTCGCGCCATGGTAAGACCGGGCCCTGGCAATAAACCTCGTGCGTTCGGGCTCAGGGGAAGCCAGGTGCGTGAAATGGGTCTTGGCTAGCTTCATCGTGACTTCCATTGCCTCGGATCCTAGAACGCAAGCTAGTCAAAGTCTGTCGAGAAGGGTGATGAGGTAAAGTTCAAGGCATGTAAAAGTCCTTACCAGATCCGCACAGAATTGCCTTGCCCATTTGCCCATGCGTCGATCGAACTAACAGCGAGGCAAGTTCTTCGGCTGCTTTCGTCTGGTAGAATCCAGGGTGGCAATAGGGGATATTCAATAGTTGTTCAATAACCGCTAGCTTCACCTGCTGATTGTCGAACCCAAGGCACGAGACAGCAGCCCCAGAAGTGGCGTCGAGTATTTTGCGACCATCTTCGGTTTCGAGGTAGATACCCTTTCCCGAAGTAATTACCAGAGCAGGATTCTTTTCAAAGTGTTTGTATAACAGGCTATGGTTGGGCTTTTTCCCGTTTATGTGGACTGGATTCTTCATGATGCAGAGATTTAAGAATCGTTGGCTGTGTCAATGATTCTGAGGAGGGTTTATGACTCTGCAGTGGTGACGAGGAAGAAGTGATTGGGAAATTGAATCGGGACGATGGGAAGACCTTGGCAAAGTTATGAGACATTTATCATAGCTGTTGATGCCCGGGGCCTGTGTTCAAGATCTTGCTTCCGATATTCTCACCTTTCCAATGTTAACACTAAGAATCATCAGTACTCTTTATGATACCCTTTGGAGGGGCCCATACCACTGCCATTTATGATTCTTGTAGTACTCTACTAACGAATCTAATAATATGCAGGAAACACTTATCTTCCCAGTTTGCCAACACATTTGTTGCACCGACGATGGCTTGGACGAGGTATCTCGTACTCACCCCGAAGGTGCAAGGCGCACCTCGATTGGAAACAAACCATTGATGTGGTGCCGATATCGTCCGATGTGAATGCTAGAGGACAAACCCCATGACAGGACTTTGTGCAACATCCAGTTCATTGCTTTAGTGAGGGGTAGGGCATTCCACTTCCAATCGTAGACGATCACTGCATATACCTACTTTTCATCCTCATCGTAGTGTACGGACCGAGGTTCATACTCAATCACAAGCCTTTGCCGTCTTCAGCCTCTCGGTAGGTATCTGCACAAGAGTGGCTGTCGTCGCACTCTTGTTTCTCCTGACTAGCCTTGCAAGGTCTCTGTGACTAGTGTGCTCTCACCTCACTCACGTCATGATTGTTCCATACGTTCAACACATCTTCAACGTTTCCGAAGTCATTGGTTCGGTCCTCCGCCTCCGGGAATATCTCTTCCCCAACATCTCCCACGACACGGGAGATGTGGAGATAACTGCGCTGACTCAAGGAACAGCGAAGAACGTTAGCTACCAATTGTTTAACAAAACGTCGCCGTCAGACAGTCGCTCAAGCTCCAAAGGTTGTACATGGTAGCAGTCCGTCTGAGCGGTCCGGCAGCGATCCCCAGATCCGAGAGTTCGCTGGTGAAAATCTACGGCGATGGCACTGACATCATCATTGACCGACCGACAAAGTAGGACCACACGTTCCACCATACACTGATGTCGCACACTGACACTCCTGACCTGTCAACAAACAGGGGAGCTTAAGCTTCATGGCATTCTTTCTTATCACAGGCTTGCACCATCGCCTCTGGTGCGCATCCCGAACGACCATGCCCACCAAATCTGGACGGCAGAGTCTGCTCGATTGACGACATAACGAAAGAGGCGATTTGGCGCGCAATGGCAAGGGAACCTGAGACGTGGCATGCGGTACTTTCTCGCTCATCTTCCGGTGAGGACGGAACCCGACCCAGCCTTTGGTCAACGGCTCTGAGGTGGTTGATTGCGTTACCCGAAACCACGAAATCTCACAATTATTTCATATGATCGATCCCTAAAACTCACACTCCAAAACATGAAGAACCGATACACCCTGAAAAGGATCGGATGTTGCACCTAACAGAAGCTAAGCGGGGGAGGGAACTGGTGGAACATTGCCTCACACACCCCTCGTCCGCGACAGATCCCGATCAGAAAATGGCATCCGTCGACGTCATACCTCTCAAACTGCAAATACCATGTTGAATGAGTTGCAGAATGCGGGTCCCCTACAAGTTCTTCCATCCTGAGGAACCCAAAAGCGGTTTCTTTGAAGACCATTATTTCATCGTCTCCCGAGTTGTCCAGGAGACACAATTCGTCGGCGGAGGCGGCGGAAATATCAGTGGCATCTTTGATGACGAGGCCTGAAGCAGTTGATCTTCATGCTTGAAGAAAGACTCATAGTATACGGCGACGCTGTCTCGATTGGGGATTTGTATATTGGCGCGCCTGGGTTAAACAATGCCCCTGTAGGCCTCCTCATGACACTGTCAGTCAGCGATCTTTGCATCAGCTCCTTGCGCACCTTAATTGGCGGTGCCGGCGAAGGTGGCTTTTGGCAACGTCCGTAAAGGTTTTAGAATTGTCTGCGTACCTTACCTAGACAGTGTGAGAGGTCATGATATGTCCGTGCAGACGGCCATACATGATTTAGATTGTAGGAACTTGCTGTAGAAATTTGCTCTTGCCAGGAAAAGCAAAACGTTGTCAACCTCTACTATGACAAAAATAGTCCCACCAAAGAATCAGATTCTTTTGGCTTCGAAGACCATCACCACAACCGTCAAAATGTGGAAGTTGCTTCCCAATGAGTTGAAACTCCAAATCCTGGAATATCTCCTTGCCCTGAAACCTGAATGCTTAGCCCCATACACCACGTTCTGTCGACCATGGCAACACCGCATCGAGCCCATCCTATTCGAGGAAGTCACGCTTTACGTGACAACCGCCAACATTTTGTCAGGCAAAACGACTGCATCAACACTCGCCGACATCATCCGTGGTCCAAGGACACAGGAACTCAAAAAGCTGAACATTGTCATAGACTCTGATCCGTCAAGTTTCAACATCGTCACGGATGGCCCAATGCGCCAGATGCAACTCGGCGTTGCCTTTGCGGATGTCATCGACGGCACCTTCGACGCGATGCGTCGCTCGAAACGCGACCAAGTATATTTCAATCTTGAGATCCACGAGGAGCGATCGTGTGGCTATCATGTGATACACTACAGAAGCCAGCTCGCAGATCGGCAGGGGAGGATCATCGACTGCGTGCGTTCTATTCGACACAAGGAATACAACGCCATTAGATGCCGTTGCTGCTCGGTTAGAGGACTCCTATCGATGATTTGCTCGACGATGTCGAAAGAGCTGAGAGACATCGAGTTTGGATTCTAGCGGTGCGACAATGGCAACCTGTCGATGTTCGAGGAGGGATTCGATTTTGTGCCTTCGGGTTTGAAGTCGCTTACTGTGAGAAACATGGCCCCGAGTGGCTATGATCCATGTGATCGAAGATACGGCTGGTTCTATCCGTGTTCTTCGTCAGTTGTCAAAGTCAGCCAGACATTGGAGACCCTCCAAATTTCAGATCCCGTTGAGAATATCCTGGGTGGCAAGTTTGGGGACATCCCTAGCGCTCCTAATTTCCCATGGTGGCCCAACCTCAAGTCCCTCTCTGTAACATCAACACGGCTGAGAGGCCTTGCGCACGATGCCCAAGCTGAACTGGATTATATGACAGAGGTCGCCCAGAGAATGCCACAACTGCGACGGCTCGAACTTTGGTGCATCGGAACCAATCGCGCGCACCTGGGCAATGCGGGCCGCCTCCTTTATACGGTGAAAGAAAACAGTGCTCATCTTTCGTGGCAGGCTAGCTGGAGATTCAATTGGCGATTACGCATATCTCCTTGGCGCAAGGTGGCTAGTTTCCATGGGAAAGAGCTAGACATCACAAATATCGAGTTGGAACATACTGATGGGAGCGATTTAGAATGTTGCATAAAGTTGATGGGATTCTTCGAAACGCGTCTGTATTTTGGGAAAGAGATGCAGGAAGACGAATATGAGACACTTATCGATCGATACGAGACTAGACTAGCAGGGTGAGATATTGATATCAACAATGAATGATTGCAATACTCTGAAAGGCCACAAACTGCTAGGGCGTTGGCAGAAACATTCTATACGTAGTCACCGACAACGCTCGCATTTATGCCATAGTTGTTAGCAAGTTGTGTATGAAAAGGCTTCACCCGAGCTGTGTGACTGAGCTATAAACAAGGCTAACATGCCGGAGACGTTGTTCAGGTGATAGCAGATGCAACATGGGGATTGGATGATGACAGTGTGGTGGTTTTTCTTCTTGCAAGTCTACGCAAGCATCGTGTCTGGTCCAATGTTGATGTCGTAATCCGTTGGATCCACATCAGTGGCGCAGAACCTTTTCGTTCTGGACCTTTGCACACCATCAGGGTAAAAGCGGGAATCTGTAATTCCATGTGAATTGCATGTGAATTACAAAATTGAGTAAGGGGCGTTCATGGCCGAAGTCGGCCTTGAGAACATCGTCATTTCGGTGTCAGCTTTCGTCGCGACAACCTCATGTCACCTGCAACTTCCTGAAACCCCCCCCCCCCCCCCCCCCCCCCCACTTTTACGGCCTGCCTGCCCGGCAACGTACTTTCCACAGACAGGCAGGCAGGCACCTCAGTCAGGTAAGGTAGGTAGCTACCTGCTTTGAATGGCCGCACATTCTGTCAATCGCAGGCACCAATCCCATTCCTACCTAGTATGAAGGCTTCGTAGAGTAGTTGCGAGGATATGCTCCTTCCCCTCGGGCTAGATGCTCTTGCTTTTCTAGAGATGCCACCAGTCTGTTATTCAAAGACGAGGAAGGTGAGATCATAAGCAGTAGGTGCGAATTGTGACGTTGACTGCCAACCAGAGAACATTTAAGTAGCCGTTCGTCCCGGCACCTCACTCCATCTTTTGACAACTTCTACCAAACAACATTACATTCAAGTCGGCATCCGTCCCGGCACTCCACCCAATCTTTTGACAGCTCCAACCACACAACATCGTCTCAACGTCAACGAAACATGAAGTTCCCTACTTTCATCGCCGCCACCATCTTCCTCGGCCTGGGCGCCAACGCGTCTGCCGTCCCCGACACCGTCGCAGCGATGGCAGCCGGCATTGGTGGGAACAAGCACTACGGCGTAAGTGATACCCTCAGCCGCCTTGACACACAGCCGGAGTGACCACTGACACCGACTGCCAGAAATGCTTCGCCGGCCTGAATCAGTGTGTAATCAACCAGAAGCACGGAGAGCGCAGAATCGACTGCAGGAAACCGGTATGTGGAACCTTCGAACCCCTTCCTTGCGAGATTTCCTATCCTGACTTACGAAATCACAAGTGTTCGAGAGATGGTGCGCGCTGCAGAGAGGCACGTGTTCGTCACCAGGCCCATTGCTGGTGAGCTACCAGAATCTCCCATCTGACCTGGCTGGCCGTCTACATGGGGCGTTGGCAGAAATATTGGAATGGATGGAGAGGTTCGTTGGAAGGCACGACAACGTGGCTGGCGTCTTCGAAACAAAACACTTCCTTATCGAACGCAGGATGCAAGGGGACTGGCTGAATAAGGGGAAAGTGCTTTGAGGCCGAGTAATGATGCCGAGTATCGATAATTAGTAGCTGAATACAACGAAAAAACACCTCCTACTCCAATTCTTGCCCAAGTGCTCTTTCCTGGCATCACGATTCTATCCTGACAGCAAAGGTTGCGTCTCCGTGTCCCTATGGCCTGGTGTTGACCTCGTTTGAGTAATCCATAGAAGCATGCCCTGGACGATAGAAAACAGACCGTTGTTGACGACTGGCCACCCAACCAGACGATACCATCCGTCATAAGAGGGTGAGTACGGAGGATATCTAACCCGGACCATCCACGAAATTGCCAACAACGCGAAGACAACGGTCTGGGTTGCGAAGCCTGGTACACTGATAGCCCCAGGGCTTGACTGGCGCTGTATCTCTCGAGATTGCGGGACGGCAGAAGCGAGCACGAGTATGCTCGACATGGGGAGCAGGATGAGGTAGTGCCCCATGACAAAGAGGTCACGGCCCCAATTTCTCGGTTCGGAGCGCGAGTCTGTGAAGATGGCGTCGAAGATGGCCGGGACGAGGGAAACAAGGATGAAAACCACGTAGATGACGCCGACGCTGTGCCTCGTAGCTTGACGGCCGGCGTTTGATGCCGAGTAACGGAGGCTTAGAAGCAGTCTGCCCACATGTTAGTTACCCGACGTCTCCAAGAAGCAAGGGATTCTTGGGGGTCTGCTTACAGAACAAGGGAGCACAGACAGACAACGACGAGCTGGACGAAGTTGAGCCAGTCGCCTGCTGTTGCGGGGTCGTTGACAAAGGCATCGCCCCGAAGTCTGCCCGTGTCGTTGACGTTGAGGAAGAAGCCAAGGGTGAGCTGCTCCGTGGCGCTGATGAGGTTGAAGAGGACGTAGTACAGTGAAAGGCCGTCGCAGTGGCCTTGTTCGAGGATGCGGTGGTACTGGGGAAGGTACGACGCGATGGTTGCGATGCTCAAGGCTCTGGGGGAAGTCAGCATTCGTCCCGGGTGCGGAGTGATGGGTCTCGATGTTGCGACGAGCGGTCAATAGAATGCGTCACTCACATTCTGGCCCAGTTGGGAAGAATATTTGGCACCATGGCTTCGTAATTCCTCGCGGTTGCAGGTCAAAAGCGGTTGCTTGGGTCGAGCACGGGTTGGGCGATGCGACCGACGGCGGTTGAGCGACACTAGCGGCGGTCGACGGCTTGCCAAACGAGCTCAAAACCGACAATCGCACTGCAAGAGATGATAGCTTGGACGCAATAGACAAACAAAGATCCAAAGCTGGCTGCCTGTCGTGGGGGAAAATATTCTCGTGATGGTGCATGATCCTGTAGGATTCCTTCATTCCGCCACGTGGGCCGGCGAATCATGCAGAAGAACACGGCCAAGAAGTCGGGGAACCGATGATCGGTGGGTCGTTTGCCTCTTTCGAAGGTCGCATTTCTCCAACGTGATCGAAATTCATCACGTAGAAGGGAAACAGGATCGCGACTTGGGCGGTGTTTGCCTCACAGAAATAAGGTAGGTGCAACGAGACCTTGGATGGTCGTGGCCGCAACTGCCCCGCTTCGGCCGAGCAGGGGGACAGGCTTTGAAGCGATCGTGGAAGAAAACACCAAAAAACATCATCACGAGTCACGTCAACACGGGAAAAGGTCTGCGTTGCATGAGCCGTACGCATTATCGGGCTACCTATTAAAGACTGCTGCATAATCTGCCCTATGACCACCTCGCGAAGCCACTGATACAATTAATCGTCTCTGCAAGTCTGATACTCTGCCCGTCCGTCTCGAAAACCTCAAAAGTCCTTGTCTCAAACCACTGATATAACCCCAGAACCTGACCGAAAGAACCATCCGGCAAACCCATCCGAAAGGAAAAACCGAATCTCTCTAGGGGTAGATCTGCCAGGCGCCGTGGGCCTTGTTGCCGAACTGCTCCTCGAGGTCGCAGCCGATGTTGCCCCAGCCGCGCATGCGACCGTGGGTGTTGTCGAGGTGCTCGATGGCGCCCTCGAGCAGACGCTCAATGTCCATGTTGCCGATGACGCTGAAGTAGCGCGGGCCGTACGCGAAGTGGCACGTCTGGTACTTGATGATCGGGGTCAGGTCGCCGACGCGCGCGGCGCGCACCTCGTCCGCGTTGAACATCCAGAACTTGCGGTGCTCGCGGATGTAGATCATGAGCGTCTTGCAGTCCTCGACGAGCGCCGAGTCCTTGTGCGCACCGCCCATCCAGATCGTCTTGCCGTTGCAGCGCTTCGAGGGGCCCAGAGGCGTGATGACCTGCTCGGATTTGCCGCCGAGCGTCTTGACCTCGGACCGGACGTTGCCGTTGACCTGGAAGGTGGCGTTGTTGCCGTCCTTGTCAAGGACGGCGACGTCGACCCAGGTGACGTGGGCGGCATCGTCGGCGGGGGCGTTGGGCTCGGTGGCGTTGGCCTCGACGAGCTTGATGTTGCTGTAGTCGGGGGTCTTGAAGGCCTCGGCATCGATGTCGCTGTCGCGGCGGTCGAGCTCGCCGGAGGGAAGGTTGGGGTTGCGCCAGAAGAGGCTGAACTCGCCGTTGTGGATGGGCCTGCTTCCGTCGAGAATGCACCAGACGCCCATCTTGCCGGTGACGCCGCCGTCGTCGGTGTTGCACTCCTCCCAGCGGATGACGTTGTCTACGAAGCGGAGCATGTCTCTGTTGGTGACGACGATGCCGGGCTTGGTGGTCTTGAACATGATGCCGCAGGTGCCGTGGGCGGCGAACTTGGCCCAGTAGCCAACGTCACGGTCCTTAAACTTGACGCGGGCACTATTGTTCTGGACGAACTTGGCGAGCCGCTCGCAGTCGACCTTGCGGGGGACGTTGGACTCGGACCAGGAGGATGTCAGCCAGGTGGGCTTGCAGTAGGGGCCCTCCATGTCGCCGCCGGTGGTGAGCAGGAAGCGCTTGGCGAGGGTGCTGTTGCTGGCAGTGACGTTGGCGAGGGCGCCCAGGTTCGTGTCGATGGGGATTCTGTCGTTCATGATGTAGGCGGACGTGTCCTTGGGGATCATGTTGGCCGTCTTGACGACGAGGGGGCCCAGGGCCTTGGCGTCGCGAATGTCGAGGGCGTTGTCGCCGGCCAGGGACTCGGTGGCGGCGCGCTCCTGGAGACGCCAGAACATAGGAGCCCAGCCAAGCTCGCCGTCGACAACGGCGCAGTCAGCTTCACTAGAGGCGGAGAGGCGGCCGTCGACAGTCCAGGCGCGGCGGTTGAGCGCGCTCTCGAGGAAGCGCGTGACATCGGCGTTGCTGAAGACGACGTCGCGGTTGAAGGTCTGGCTGCGGAAGGCACAGGTTCCGACCCAGAAGACCTCGGCCCAGCGAGCAAGGTCGGCGTCGTGGTCCTCGAAGTAGACGAGAGCGTTGTGGGCCTTGACATAGTCGTGGAGAGCCTGGCAGTCGTCGCGACGAGGCATGCCGGCGCCGGCTCTCTTGGTGGCGCGGATGGTGCAGAGCTCGGCGTAGCCCTTGGCGGGCTCGATCTTGATGTGCTTGGCGAGAGGGGAGGGCGAGCTGCGCATGTCCTCGACCATGGCGAAGCCCTTGCCGATGTTGAGGATCACGTCAGAGCCATTGGAAGCCTTGAACGTGATCTCGGTGGCGGCGACAGGGGCCTGGTGGGAAGCACTGGCGACGTCGACGGGAATGACGACCGCACCGGCTTGGGCGGCCAGAGCCACGATGGGAGCGAGAGCCTTGCGCATCGCGAGATTGGGGAATGGTGATGCTTGGAGTGAATTGACTTGGAAGAAGCAACGAGAGGAGGATATCCCGAAGGAGAAGAGACGTAAAGAGCGCGAATCGCAGCAAGGAGAGACGTGATTGGGATGAAAATTTCCTTCCAAGGAGACGCGAGGTCCTGAGCTTGGTGTGGAAAAAAATCCAGAGTGGTGTGGGAGGAGGAGAAAATTTTGCTGTGTGGCCTTGGGAAAGGTGAAAGGTGAAGGTGAATCGGGGCTGAAGGGGGTGATTTGAGAGACGGGGCGGCACCACCACAGCACAATATTCGCTTCTTTTTGGCTGTGAAAGAACGACAAGCTCGCCAGGAAGCGTATGAAAACTTTTCTGAGGAATCTCTGGAGGAAATCCAGGCAGATGGAGGCTCGAAGGGCTAGGCTGAGCTATGTTGTGTTCGTTTTCAGGGGCTGCCAAGACCTGAGGCGAGGCAAGGTGAGAAGCAAGGTGAGATGCGTCGATGATAGGAAGCCACAACTTGAAGAGATTTCCTCACTTCCTTCTAGATTCAGCTGGAGGTTTCACCTTGCGCAATGAAAACTCTGGATATTGAATATCAAAGTCGTGGGCGTGGGCCTGGTTAGTGACGCGGGTCCTAGGGCTCATCCCGTGCGGCTGGTGATGGTTGCATGCTGGTGCGGCTTGGTGATGATGAGGTATGGGCCCGCTTGACGACTCAGCGTGCAGTTGATCACATGGTAGAAAGGGATATATGTGCTCCGCATGGTCACTTGGGACCAGCAGCCGGGAGGCACATAATAAGCCGGCAAAAGCATGTGAACAAGTTGGATGTGCGAGGTACAAAGCCATCCATGGATACTTGTGCATCCAAGACCAAGTCAATCAGACTCCTGGATTCATGGATCAAAGCTGAGGTCTGCATCAGAAGAAGAGTTGGTGTTCATGCAAAGTAAGAATTGGAGCTGAGTCTACCAGCTAATGAGTTGAGTATAGAAGTCGAGATACTCATCACATTAAGTATGTGTGAAATTGAACACATGCAAATTGAAATGGGCTTCTTAGACTTCCCACAGCCAACAAGAGTCTGACAAAGTCACAGGAATCAAAGGTGACATTAAAAAGAACAGAAGTGCAAAAGGTATCTTTGTGTAACTTCAAACTCTTCAATTCAAACAAGGGACTACTCTCTCAGGGGCTACTCTAATTGCAACGTTTCTTCCAGTTTGATATCCCCTGCAGAAAAGCCTGCCATAAAGTGATACAGACCTTTCACGAACCTTTCGCCGCGTGTTTGCTGATCCCAGATCTTCAGATCATTCTTGGAAACAACCAATTCCACGTCTCTACTGCTGCCAGCTGGGACCTCCACCTTGGCGAAAGCCTTCAGCAGCTTGGGCGGCTCCTTTGCCTCGTCAGGATATCCAACATACAACTGCACAACCTCTTGTGCGTTCATAGCACCTTCATTGGTCAAGGTTACGGCAGTGACGATCGCGCTCTCATTGCTCGAAACCTTGATACCGCTCAGGCTAAAGTTGGAGTACGTCAAGCCGTGGCCAAACGGGAAAAGGGGCTCGACACCACTCTTGTCGAAGGCCTTGTAACCGACGTACAGCCCCTCAGCGTAAGGAACATCGATGGCAGTGTTGATCTGGATGGTGTCGTTCAGCTTGGCTGGAAATGTCATCGGCAGCTTTCCGCTGGGGCTAATATCGCCGAAGAGGAGACGCTCCAGAGCCAGGCCGACTTGCTGACCGGGGTACCAGATGTCCATCACCGCGTCCACATCCTCACGCCAAGGCATGAGAACAGCAGAGTTGGTGTTCAGAACGACAACCGTCTTTTTCGACTTTCCAGCAAGCCTGCTGATGAGCGCGTCTTGGTCACCTGGAAGCGACAGACCAAGCCCACTGTCAGCACCCTCCGACAACCGATCGGAGGCAAATACGATGCTGATATCAGCCCACTGAGCAAGCTCGTCGGCCTCTGAGTCTCTCGTCTGGTTGCCAACGTCCACGCCAAGAGTGATTCCATATCCACCAGTGGAGAGCGAGTAGCCCATGTCGTATCTCAACGTGAGCTTGACTTCGGTTCCGGCCTTGAGATCTACCGTGCCTTGAACGAAGTTGCCGAAATTGGCATACGACATGTTCGCGACGAGGACTTCATCCAAGTAAAGAAGGGCAGTTCCTTGTCCGTACATGGAAAAGTGGTAGGTGCCCGTCGTGTTGGGCAGGAAGATTCCCTCATATACGGCAGAGAAGACGTCAGGGTATGCTTGCCACAGCTTTGAGGGATAGCTCGCGATGGTGATATTCGGAATGAACTCGGTGGCGTTGGCGGGGCCGGAAAAGTCGGTCGTCTTGTAGTACGTCGCGTTCACGCCGCCGTCCTTGAACATTGATGACGGGATAGTGGGAAACTGCCCCGTGCCAGGGTACGCTTCTGAGTACTTGACCGAGATGTTCTCCGCACTCCCACGTCGAGAAAGCGCATCAAACGGTGCCTGAACAACCATGGTGGAGTCAATGACAAAGCCTCCGTGGTTCTCAGAGACTTGGTTCTCGGTCGTCGCACCAATGCCAAAGACAGCAATCTTGGTGTATTTCTCGGGCGATAGAGGCAGTGTGCTGTGATCATTCTTGAGAAGCACTGCACCCTCTTCCACCATTTTCTGTGCGAGGTCCAAGTGCTCTTGTGTGCGAACATGAGCTGTCGAGTCGCCAGTGACGGGGTTGTCAACCTGTCCCAGCTTGAACATGTACCTCCAGAGCCTCTTGACTATATCATCAATGCGCTCTCTCGGAACAGATCCATTGTTGACAGCTTCCACAAGCAAATATCCATAGTACGCGGGAAACCCGTAGCTGTCTGTCAGATCTCCGCCAGGCATGGAGATGTCCAACCCGGCCATGACGGCAGGGACCGTACTCCTCGTTGAAAAGTACCAGTCCGCGACAACGAAACCTTCAAAGCCCCATTCCTGGCGTAGCGTGGTGTTGAGAAGCCAATCGTTCTCGCAGGTGAATTCACCGTTCAGTCGATTGTACGAACACATCACACAAGCCGCGTCCGCCTCTTGCACACTTGCCTTGAAAGCAGGCAGATATAGCTCGTGCATAGTCCGCTCGTCGACGACCGCGTTCACCGTGACCCATTCAGGGCCCAGGCCGAACCGGTTGGTATCCTGGTTGTACGCCGCAAAATGCTTCGGGCAGGCCAAGGCGCCCTGGCTCTGGATGCCCTGCGTCACCGCAACGGCCATGCGGGCAGTCAGCCAGGGGTCCTCGGAGAGGGTCTCGGCCGCCCGAGCCCACAGCGGTGAGCGGAGGATGTTGATTGTCGGTGCGAGGACGATGTTACGCCCTTTCCCCATGTGCTCCTGTGCGAGCGCCTGGCCGTAGTCGTACTGGATGGAGGTATTCCACGAGGATGCGGCCATGACGGGGGCTGGGAAGGCCGTGACGTTATTCAAAGAGTTGCCGACTCCTGCCGGGCCATCGCCCATGCAGATGTCCGGGATGCCGAGGGTCGAATTACCTTGAATGTGGCCGATGCAAGCGTTGACGCCAGTTCCATTGTCGGTAAGCTTTGATCTTGTCAGTATCATGTGGAGAAGACAGCGGATGAGATAGGCTCACCTCCGTGTCGCCTTGGACCATGGCATGCTTCTGAGTGTCATTGAGCTGCGCGATGAATGACTCAAGACGATCTTCAAATGGGAGTGTCTTGTCCAGCCATGGCTGCACCGCCAGAGAAGTTGACGCCCATGAGGCGAGTAATAGCGTCGAAGAGGCCCTCATGATGCCGTCTGTGAACCGCGAAGATGTCCGCAGAACGCCAGCAATTCAACAGTCTGGGGGTGGACCATAGATGGCTCCATGGACTGGAATTTCTACTCCTGCATGACATTTGCACTGCATATATGGTGCCTGCTATCGTTCATCTGTTGTTTAATTTGACCCTCTTTGACCTCGTGATCCTTCGGACCGGGATTGATGGGCGGTGTGCGGGCTGGTCCCGGCGTCGGCCTCTCAACTCCAGCTCTCATTATCTTAGATGGCCGGCCACTGCAACCCTAATATTCGGCATCGCCATTGGCATATCGGACGTCAACCCCACTGATAGGCATGGAAGATACGACTCCGGCTAAATGCGAGTTGCAGTCCGCGTCCCCGGAAACCGGAGTTGATGTTTTGCTTGCAAGGTAATCCTGGCTTTCTCATATCGACTGGATTTACCAGTGCCATGGCCCCGGGAATATCATCGGCAAGATTGGAGTTTCCAGATATCGAATTCCATAGTCAGACACTGAGTGCTATCATTCAAAATCTCAGATAACAGACGAGGGTAAAATGAAGTTAATCAGGCAACGCTGCACTCCTAGGTTACGTTGCCCAGGTTTGGGCTAAAGAGTCTAGCGATATTCTCCACCGCAATCGCCCATGTCCTCAAACATCTCCATCCTTTTGCTTCTCTTTAAAATCCCCTCGATTGAGGCTCGATCATCTTCGTCCAGAGACCAGCCGAGTGCAGCCGTATTCTCGTCCGCGTGCTCGCTAATACCCATACGAGCACCCACAATGACGGCGCCGACGTAGGGGAAGTCCAGGACCCAGCGAATCGCAACCGTGGAGAGACTGACGCCATACTTGGAGCTCACTGACTTCAACGTACGCAAAAGCTCTTGGAAGAGCTCCCATCCACCCCAGCTTTTGATCATGGCGTAGTACTTGCGCTGGCTTGGGGTGATTGTCTCGGCGTACAGATCAGGTTCGTCCTTACCGAGCCACTTCTCGGCAAGGAAACCACCACACTGTGATCGGATGATTAGCATCTATGTAGCGAGAGTGATGCAATTTTACCGTTCCGACTCACCAAAGTCCCATATGTGAGAAGCTTTACATTGTGCTTCTCACACACCTCGGCCATGCGCACGACTGGTCTGGAATCAATCAGAGAGAACTAGAAGCATGTCAGCTCACCCGTCCTCAATTATGAATTCGGAGCTTCATTACCTGGACCTGATTTGAATGAATATTGATGTTATGAGAAAGAATGTTCTCCATGTGGTGCGTATCAAAGTTGCAAAGACCCAAAGTCCCAACTCGTGAGTCTTCCGCCAAGAACCGCAATGCATTGATGTATTGAGGGTCCTCGTACTATGTTTTGGTCAGGCTATGGACTTCCAAAACATGCTCGTAACAACTTGGGACTCACAAATTGCCAGTGAAATTGCAGCAAGTCAATCTTGTCCGTTTGCAGTCGCCTGCATCTCTCAGATACGTTGGCCTGAACAGCCTCACGAGTGACGGCCATAGGATTGAACACGCAGTACTTGGTACCGGCGAACGTCGCTCCCTTGACAGGATACGAAGCGTTGAAACGTCCCTGGATGTACTGTTAGCCAGGTTTCAGATCTTATCAGAAGGCCTCGAGTCAACTTACAAAGACAATCTCCGCATCGCCGTAGTGATCGGCCATATCGAAAGCAACCAATCCAGAGCTGACGTATTGGGAGAACTGGGCAATGATTTTGGAAGTTGGTGCTGATCCCCACGATGGGCTCGACATTTGCCAGAGACCCGAGAAGATTCTGGGGAGTCTGCGCCCGTTCATCTCGAAGGTCTCTTTGGCTTCGGGAGGAGCGACCTGCAGAGTATTGTCTGGCGTGTTGATGTCATCGAAGGCTGGGATCGGGACTTCCAGGAGGATGCAAGTCGCCGTCAATGCCCGTGTGTAAGGATAATCAAGACCTTTCTCGTTTGTGGTTGCCTTACAGTCAAGCAGGGCTTCGTGCAGGCTGTCCAGGAGTTTCCGCTCCTCGTCCAGAAGTTTAGAGCGCCCAGCTGAGAGCAGGGTCTTTTCTATTGCAGTTATCAGCTGCACAACATCTCCGTCGATGGATGCTAGAAACTCTTCCGTGCTCGTCCCTTGGCTGAGGAGTAGATCGACACCCTGCATAGTCAAGCTGCCCATGAGGGTGATGCTCTCGTGACTGAGGCCGCATCCCATCATACACCGAATTGTCTTCTGAGTCGCTTTCAATGACGACGTATCCAGACCTCTAGACTGAGCCTGGATTTTCGGAAGTGCCACGTCTTGGATGTAGCTTCTGGTCTCTGTTTCGAATGTGGACGTAATTTCTGGATGAGAAGCCAACAATGAGCGCATGATAACCAGCATTCCCTCAGGCGTCATATTCGTAATGATGCTGTCAGTCATCATGTTGACATGGGCCGTCTTGACCCTGCGGGCCCCTGAGCCTGCTGCCATATCGACGGTCAAAGTTGGTAGTGAATTGTCCAAGGAAACGATACGATAGTCGATGCAGTGCCCGGCGTCACGATATTGCCAAATGGCGTCGTACAAAGACAATCTCGACTCAGATGCAATTGTTGTCGTCACAGCGCGGGAATAAGCGATTGTCGTTAAGGATTCCCGTCGCCGGCGTTCAAACCGGCCTGTGGAAGGCCGGCGAGAGCTTGTTATCGGAGTTGGCAGGGAGCCAGTGGGAAGCGGGGAAGCGGAGGGGACGTTTTGGGAGTAGCGCCGATAACTTATCATGAGACATGACCGCGGGGACCCTGTGTTGAAGAGCCGACGAGATACCGCGGGTGGGGTTTTCCGAAATTGGACCGGGCTTCATCTGATCAATAAGACACCGACGGCGGCAACTATCGCCAGGTCGTGGGCCGCACAATTTAATCCAATCAATCGACGTCGGCCGGCCGGAAAGAGACTATGGAGGCCCTCAGTGAGGCGCCGCGGGGCCCAAAGTCCGTGTAAGCTTCTCTGGTGTACGACATGATGCGTCAATGCGCAAATGCTGATGAGTTGATGACCGATTCAAGTGTGAAGGCGTGTTTGCCGTGCAGAACTGTTAAGATGCGATGTGTTGTTGAGGAGAATGAGACAATATGTGTGCGTTGTTCGCGCAAGTCGCTTAATTGCGTATTTCAGGATCATCGCCGGGGAAGGAAGCCTGGAACACGGTGCGTTGCGTTATTCGAACAGTCACACCACACAAAATCATGTAGTTGACGCTCAATTTGGGGTTTCAGGATTGCGAAGAGACACAGCACCTCCTCGAGGCACCTTGCCAGCACTCCTCCACCTGAACAGACGAGTTCAACTGAACAACAGTATGGTGACTCTGCTGCAGCAACGGCAGTTCAAAAAAGTCCCGACTGGGATAACGGCACGCTCCAACCAGCCGGAATATTCAAGAGTCAAACTACAAGAAAGGGGTTTTGTCTGGGAAGCATCTTGAACGCGTCGGACATAACAATACCAGAGACTAGAGGAGACGATCCGGCAATTCCTTCAGATGATCCTATCCAACTTGGCTTGGTCAATCTGTCCATCGCTTCGTCCCTGTTTGAAAAGTAGTGGCTCCATTTAGACCTGTGAAACCTCTCACTGACAATACATACAGTTTCATGGTCACTCTTAACCCATATATCAGCCAGCTAGATCCGCATCTACACAGTTTCAGTCGCGTGAGGAAGAAATCTGCTTTTCTTCTGACTGTCATACTTGCCGCGGCAGCCAAGGCTTTCAATCCTGCTCTCAACAAGAAGCTCCGGGATCATGCAGAGGATATGCTTGCCGACAGTTTTCGTAGAGGCTCGAAGTCGATCGAGACGGCTCAAGCAATCATGATCATGACTTACTGGAAAGACCCCGAGGATACGCGTGCGTGGATATACTTGGGATACATCATCAGAATGGGAATGGAGTTGGGCTGGCACCGGCTTGCCCCGTATAGCCTCAAAGCTTCCGATATCGGGACTGATCACGAAATTCGGGAAGCGAGAAATATTGAGAGAACATGGCTTGTCCTGTTCGTATATGACCGAAGGTGAGTGTGCTAGCTAGAGCGGTGGACAATGCGACAACTGACCAACTTCTACCAGCATGAGTCTACAAACTGGAAAGCCATGGATGATTGAGAGGAGTGGGTTCATTGAGTCTGTGGAGGCGTGGTGCAAAGACCCTACGGCTATCTCAAATGATCGTCTCCTGGGTGCTTTGGTTACCTTGCGACTTCTTAGTTCAGAAGTCTTTCGTCTACTGGGTTCGAGATCAAACAGGGCTCGTGCAGGCCAGCTCCATACGCTCGAGTCCCTTCTCGCCATCATCAATGGGAGAATAGAAGAATGGGAGACAAGATGGCTAAAGTTGGCCGATCAAGGTAATATGGGTCACAATCAAGACTCGAGGGTTTGAGTATCACTAAAATCTCCATACAGACAGCTGTCACCCTTTCCTGATCCAATTCTACGGAACCCATCTCCGGCTACAGCTCTTCTCCTTACCCCTGCAAGAAACTCTAGGTCAGCCGGATGAAGGGTCCTCACACCGCATGGAAGCACTATGGGTTAGCTACTCGAGCGCTTTGGAGATGCTGCACCTCATATGCCGCCATTCATCTTGGCTATATTTTGCCCAAGATTCAGTTCATGTGATGACAGCGTACAGTGCCGCTTTCTTGATCAAGGTACTCCACTCTCATAGGTCATCCTCCCAAGCACGGAACTGACAACAAGAAACACAGCTTTTGATGTCTGCGCCTGAATCAGTAACTCGTCAAATTGAGCCTGCCATCAAGAGCGCCATTTCTGGCGCAGCGGTAGTGTTTTCTCAGCAGGCCGCTCCGCCTGGTTCGAGTTGTGCACTGCAAGCTAAGTTTCTCGACAACATCACCACAAGATTTTCGAAAGAAAGGCCGCACATCCATGGCAGAGTACAGGATCAGAGAACAACAGTTGGAATGGGCGAACAATCCACAATATCAACCACGCAACAAAACTGTGACGACTCGCGATGGGATTCTAGCGAGACCGCAAGTTTCATTGCACCGATGAGGGGCGCAGACATTGTTGGGACAGGATTGACTTTCGAGTCTGCAGAAGAAGCTACCTGGGCTAATCTCATCGCAGAAGCTGGATTCAGTGCCCAAGATGGTGTTTTCTTTGGATGAAATTAGCCAATAGGCCCATTTGAAGTCTTAAAATAAACGTTGGTTGACTACATGTCTAATCCACCATTCGTGGTCTCCCCTACAAACTCGAAACCTCCTTTAACTTCATGAATTTCCCGTCAAGGGCACAGCCGTTGTCTCAGAATGACGGAAAGTTCGGATTCCCTCTCGGATGATCTTTAGCTGAGAGGGGCAGCATGGATCAGGGCAAGCAATCAAGGCGTCGCTGGTCATCCAGTCATGTTTGTGGGTGACTCTCTGCTTGGCCGCGAGAAGTGGCAGTACGGATGCTGTAGTCATCATTACTCACTGCACTACCGTCCCTCATCTTCTGCAAACTAGACATACCTAAGCTGTATATGCTGATTCCTTGATCCGGAGGCAGGTACAACATCTCGCCTTTCAGGGTAAAATGGTCGCCCTCCTTTGCCCCACACATGATTCGCTTGCCTGGCGGACAAACAACTTCGACCCGAAGGTCAAAGAGTTGGAACTCGTCGGGTGCCGCTGTTTCAGGTGCCATTGCTAAATTTCCTTGAGATCTCAGTAAAGGTTTGGCTGACCAGGCATTCAACAATAAGTCTCGGCGAGTCGTCTTATCTTACTGGCGATTTTGCCGATGGCAAGTCCCTGTAACGACAGCCCCGCGATATCGCCCGGCGTTCTAAATGACCAATCGAGCCCCGCACCGGCGTCCTAAAAGTCGGTAAACCCCCGACTATCTTGATAGGCCGTGGAGACTAGCAGATAAGTTCGTCCGGTGATCCCAAATGCAGCAGTCCCCTGGCCCGGTAGCAACGCCATGCCGGTTGCTTAACTCAGGGCCAAAGACACAACTGCGGATATAACATGGCTAACCACGCCTGACCCGCTGCCGGGTCGCATAGTAAACAGTGCATGCTGTGCATTCGAGCGAAACACAACTCAGCTCATAGAGAGCCCCAACAATTCAAAGTCTGTGGCTTTGGACTGATCTCTCATGCAATGGAGAGGAAGGAGAAGTACGATGCAGCGTCAGACACGGCCCCAATGCCAGACTTGGACGGCGGGCAGAATGTGTCTGTGTCAGACGCAGAGGGCGGGATCAAGCGCGACTTGAGTTCGCGGCATATCAACATGATTGCGATTGCGGGAATGATTGTGAGTTGTTGGTGTTCTCTCAAACTTTTGGCTATTTTCCTGACATTTAACGCAAGGGAACTGGTCTATTCCTCAGCTCAGGCTCGGTGATTGCAACTGCAGGACCCGCAGGTGCACTGCTAGCCTATATTGTAATGGGATTCGTTACGGCAGGCGTTTCCTACACCACGGGCGAGATCACATCTTTCATGCCGGCGACTGGCGGCTTTATCCGACATGCGACGAAGTTCGTAGAGCCAGCTCTGGGCGCTGCGACCGGATGGAACTTTTGTAAGTTGTAGAGTTCTGCAGACTTGAGAGTAGCTTAACTGATGCTTAGGAATTAGGGTACACCATGGCAATTTCGGTGCCGGCTGAGATCAGTGCGGCGGCAACTCTTGTTCAATTCTGGAACACCTCAGTCAACCCAGCTGTTTGGATTACTATCTTTCTCTTATTCATCATCGTCGTGAACTTTGCCGGGGTCAGGCTTTATGGCGAGACTGAAGTAGTCTTTGCTTCTCTCAAGATAATGACCATCATTGGCCTCATCATCGGCGGACTAGTGATTAACCTCGGCGGCGGGCCCAACCATGAACGACTTGGTTTCCGTTACTGGCAAGACCCTGGAGCCTTCAACAGCTACATTGTTCCTGGCTCAGCTGGAGGCTTTCTAGCTTTCTGGAAGGTGTTGCTCTCTGCTGCTTTCAGCTACGGCAACATCCAAGTCGTGGCCATTTCTGGCTCTGAGACTCGCCATCCGAGGAAGATTATTCCTGCAGCGACTAGAAAGACTTTCTTTCGGGTCTTTGTCTTCTATGTTCTGAGCATTCTTATTGTTGGAATGATTGTGTAAGTTGCTTTGTTGGGCCTCATTCGCAACTCTGAAACTGACCGACTTGCAGTCCGTCCAACGACCCGGCTCTGAGTGTCTCAACTGGCACAGCTCAGCAATCCCCATTCGTCATCGCCTTCACTCGCTCTGGCGTGTCTGTCTTGCCATCGATCATCAACGCTGTCGTCTGCACATCTGCAATCAGCAGTGGATCAGCCTGCGTCTTCATTGCCTCTAGAACACTTTATGGTCTCAGCTGCGATGGCCATGCCCCGAGGATCCTCCAACGGTGTAACCGCTTTGGAACGCCTTATGTCGCTGTGGCTTTGACATGCGTCTTATTTCCGCTTGTGTATCTGAATGTTGGAAACAATACGTCCGTTGTGTTTGGTTGGTTTGTGAACATCACTACAGTCGCTGGTCTCATTGGCTGGATTGTCATTGAGGTCACCTACCTCCGATTCTATGCAGGATTGAAGGCGCAAGGGTATTCTCGGAAAGGCAAGACCCCAGTACCGCATCAATCTCCGAAATCGTTCGCTGACGTTCCGGTCGCAGATCTTCCCTATCGAAGCCCTGGCCAGCCTTACGTGTCATGGATCACGCTAGTTGCTGTTGTTTTGGTTGTCTTTTTCTCTGGCTTTGACGTCTTCACTACCGGGAACTTCACGGCCCCGGGATTTCTGACCTGTTATCTGAACGTCTTCATCTTTGCTGGTAAAATATCTCCCCTTGCCTATCAAGATTTGTCAGCGAGCTAATCAATATGCAGCGTTGTACGTGTTCTTTAAGTTTTACCTCAAGTCTCGGGTCATTTCACCTTCCCAAATGGATTTCGAGACGGAGTTTGCATCGATCCGACAAGAGAAAGCGGAGTCGGAAGTATTTGACACGAGGGAAACCGGACTTAAGTCGTCATTTCGCAAACTCATTCACTCCGTTTAGACATTCTTCAGCACTTGAGAGTCAGCGGAATTAAGATAAGGTTTCATCAGTTGCCTTGCTTCATGTATGCCAAGTCTCTCCCTGCAACGTCTCGTGATAAGCCCATCCTTGCGTGATTGGAGGACTGTTGAGTTCCCTCCTTGGACAGCTCGATCGGCCAGAAAATAACCATTTTGAAGAATTGCGTACAACATCGGTAAAGGGCCAAGACTGATGAAACATGCCCCGTGAAATCTGGCAATGCACTCGCCAACTCGGCTTAATTGTCGCTTACGTCGCTTGATCGTGAACCCGTATGGTCTGACGTTGATTTCATTGACGTGTCTGGACCCAAGAAACTGTCGCCGCGCGTTCTCAGACATTGTCGTCTGAACCAGTCTCAGTTCCACGAGGTGTTCGTCTCAGTTACCGCGTGGGGGCCTTTAGAACGGGACCTTTCCTCCGATTATTGACCATCTCCATCTCATGTACGTAAGAGGATACTTTTCGCCCGGCGGGCTGGCCTCACCCGCGGACGCCGCCCACCTTCGTGTACCCCGCATCGCCAGAGCAACATGAAATGATGGCCAACCACTAGTGTCAGATCCTAGCCAGGGGTCCTTAGGCGGGTGCTCCCGGGTCGTCGCGTGGCGACAGCTCGGAGGGCTGGCTGTCAGCATCGGGAGCTCTGCCTGTGCTTCCAGTTGGGGGGCTGCAAGATTGACTTTAGTCCGTGACAACGTGGCTCACGACCGTGCGATGATGATGACTTCTCTATCCTCACTTCTCTGTTTCGTTGTCTTCTTCAAGAGAGATCAATTGTCTTCCCCGGTTGCCAAGAAGATCCGAGAGCTCACTGAATTGAGACATCGTGCGTCCCTTGCCTGTGATCTGGTCCAATGAATAAGCAATTATATCTCAAGATGGGCATCTGCCGGGCTTGGCGGTATTAGTGTCGGATAAAAGGCCGACAAGGTGGGATCGCATCTCGCGTCGCCTTCTACCATTCAAAGCACGTAAGTAATCTGCCGAGAGCGGGGGGTTGGACTTTCCCCAGGCCAACTGTCTGGATACACGTATCTGGCTAAACTTGGATATTGCAATAGGGACGATACTTTCTTCTTCGCTCTTTTTGGGGCTGGCTGAGACCACGATGCGGCTTTTTGTGGAAGTGATAAGAGCCAAGAAAAATGGTGCAATCCTACGCCCTGCATGCGACGGATCGTATCCGATTGAGTATAGTGAGACACGAAACGGAGCCAAAAGATGCGCGGTCGCGGCGCGAAGTTGCCATCGCCTACAGGGCAAGCTATTTGGTCGAGTTCCCACTTTTGATACGGAGTAGGCGCCGAAGGAGCTCTGTTCCTCTCTGGAAATGGCCAAGAGAGCTCCTCCAAGCTGCGAGGAAGCTGTCATGGCCTATTGTTTTCAGCGTTAGTCTGGCCGGCGCAGCCACACATGTGATATGGGGACAGGTGCCGATTGGACCGAGACCCCGCACGACTGCATGAAACTCTAGTGTAGGTCTCACTCTATGGAGACAGTGTTAATCTACAACAATGTGGAAGGAGGATAAGACATGATGAGATGTGGGCGGGTATGTTTACGCCGTGGCAGCGTTGGCTGATCGTGAGGGGCAAATGCTGTGCCAGTAGCGCGCCTATGCAAGAGCTCTCGTATCCAGGGTCTAGTCCTCTTGGGCGAGAGCTTATAAAAAGGAGGGGTCGGAAGCTCTCGAAATAGCTCGAACGCGAAAGAGCTTCTGTCCATCATCAAAGCTGTTCTCACTGACTCCAGCGCTCCACGGAATATCCCCATCTTTCAACTCCATCTCCTCTTAAGGTTATCTCAACATACATCATGGGTGTCTCCACCGAAGTCCCGCAGACCGTCGAGTGGGCGGGGAAGCGCGTCCCCATCTACCCCATGGAGACGGTCGACTTCGGACGAGTCCTTTCCCAGGAGCCCGCTGAGCTCGAGAACCTGCTCCGATGCTGTCGCGAGTCCGGCTTCTTCTACCTGGACCTCGACAGCCTCGATGGCCAGAGATTCCTCGATGACCAGCACCAGACGCTGAAGATGATGCACCGCTACTTCGACCACCCCATTGAGGAGAAGAACGAGCTCGGTCTCGTCACCGCACACCTTGGGTAAGTCGCATATGCTCAACCCGCAAACGATAACCATGGTTAGACTAACAAGCCAATTAGCTACGAGGGCGTCGGCTCCCGCACCGGCGGTCTTCCCAACACCAGAGACGGATATGAGATGTTCAAGGTGAGATCGGCATCATCCCCGCTCCGCCACTTACGCAAGTCACTTACACACCCAAAAGGTCTCCAGAGACGAGATCCAGCGCAAGGACCCCAAGTTCCCCGCCATCCTCAAGAACGACACCGACAAGCGCGTCCTCCGCAATGCCATCTCCGGCTCCAACATCGTCACCAAGGCGATCCTCTCCGGTCTCTCCTCCGCGATGGGCCTCACCGGCGCCTCCCGCTACGAGAACGCCCACCGCAACGACCGCCCCTCCACCTCCACCCTGGCCATGATGCACTACGTCCCGGCCGACCCTCTCAAGGACAAGGAGATCGGCCACCAGAAGCACACCGATATCTCCTCCCTGACCCTCCTCTTCGCCGAGGAGTGGGGCCTGCAGATCCGCCCTCCCGGAACCAAGGAGTTCGGCTTCGTCGCCCCCAAGCCCGGCTGCGCCATCATCAACGTCGGCGACTCGCTGCGCTTTGCTAGTGGCCACACCTTCATGTCCTGCATCCACCGTGTCGTGCCCTTCCGCCCGGATGAGCACCGCTACTCCATTGCTTACTTCCTCCGTGCCGAGAACGACACCATGTTCAAGGACAGTGAGGGCCGCTACATCACTGCTGGCCAGTGGCACGACGAGAAGTTCTTCCTGTTCAAGGCTACCCCTGATATCCAGGCTCTTGCCCCGCCGTCTATGCTGTACGGTGGCATGTCTGCCGATGAGGAGTGGACCCCGTACTCCCAGCCTGAGCTGGCCAAGGCGAAGGTTGAGGACGTCCAGAAGGAGCCCTTGGTGAAGGAGGCCCTGGTCGAGGCTCACTAAGCAAAGCATTCACAAATGAGGGGCATTGAAACTTGTCCCTTTCTTGGCCGTAAACAATACAAATAGTCAAATGAATACATGCACATTGTTTGTGTAAAAACATCATGTTCAATCATTGATTTCTTGGAAGTAAAGCTACCAAATGATGCGACCGTGACCCCACACTCTTCTGTGCTTTTAGACACGGCCGAGAAGTACCACAAGAACAGAATTGTTCTCAACTTTGATGTGCAATTGACCAAAGTGCACTCATTGATAATGACTCGGAATAACAACCATCCAGTCAACAGACGTTCGATCCTCGATCACTGACGAAACGAGGGTTTCTCGACCCCTCCTCCAACATGCCGAGCTCCGCTCAACTGGCCTGGATTCTCTTAGCTCACTTAGTCTAACTGTAGGCGAGCTCTTCCGTCACTAACATCCCTGTCTTCCAGGGGTCCAGCCCCTCAAGGTGCTCGTATCGAACACCATCCCGCTGAAATAAACATGCCCATCCCTCGGCTTTTCAGTGGCTCTGTCGTCCACATCGAATTGTTCCATCAGACGAATCTGCCATCGAATCAGCAGCTCATGTTCGCCGGAAAGAATGAGCTTCCTCCCTACAGCGCCATTGGCGAAAACCCCGCCGCCAGCTCTGTGAGGGGTTGGAACTCCCATCTCCAATTACCCCGCAGGTCGCGATTGCTGCGCGTGTTTGGCCTGGCTTGCCTCGCATTCATCGTCTACGCACAATGGCGGCAAATATCACCCATTGGGAGACATTCGAACTCCGAATCTAACCTGCATGGCCTCTCAATCGCGCAACTCAAAGAAGATCTTGCAACATGCGCCAAACTGCATCACAAACCGGTGGATCCCGTCGGCTACGGGCGAGCAAGGAACTCCCGATATGTTGACGGCCACAGGCCCACCCTCATCAGGAACGCGACGGTTTGGACCGGGGAGCCGGTCAAGGAGAAAGCGAACTTCAGCTGGATACAAGCAGATGTCTTTGTCGAATTTGGTCTCATCGAGAACGTCGCTGAAACGATTTCGGTGAAAGAATTGCCTGAGGATGTTTTGGTTTACGACGCTAAAGGCCGCCCCCTCACTGCCGGCATCATCGATATGCACAGCCATGCCGCTGTACACTCTCTACCGACCATACACGGCAATGAGGATGTCAGCGAACTTTCGAAGGACATCACGCCCTATGTCAGGATAATTGACGGCATTCAGCCGACGGATCATCAGCTTCAGGTCATCAAGTCCGGGGGCGTGACGACGTCACTGATCCTCCCTGGCTCCAGCAACAATATCGGTGGAGAGGCCTTCCCAATCAAGCATGCTGTCGGACAACAGGATGGGCGGAACGAAACAAGTGTTATCGATATGTTGGCAGACCCGGATTGGACGTGGCGATACATGAAGATGGCTTGCGGTGAAAACGCCAAGCAGATCCACGGCAAAGTTGGCGAGCGTGGTCCGTACAGTCGCCTGGGTGAGAGCTGGGAGCTTCGCCAAGCTTTTGAGCACGCCGCCAAGTTGAAGCGCGAACAAGATGATTGGTGCCGAAATGCTGCCCATGGGCTGGATAACGTCAAGACGTATCTAGCCTTCGAGCTCGAATGGGAAGGCTTGGTAGCTCTCTTAAGAGGCCAGGTCCACGTTCACACCCACTGCTACACCATCAACGACCTCGAAGCCTTCGTTGACCATAGCATTGAGTTCAAGTTCCCAATCAGGGCTTTTCATCACGCTCACCAAACTCATCTTGTGCCTGATGTGAGTCCCCTTTTGCATCCGTAAGATGGACTACAACTGACTTGGCTTGGTCCAACAGATATTGAAGCGGGCTTGGGGTGACGATCCACCGGCATCAGCCCTCTTCGCCGATAATATGTGGTATAAGGCCGAGGCCGCGATAGGTTCCGAATATGCTGGCAAGCATCTCTATGATGCGGGTCTCGTTCCCATCTACGTCAGCGATAACCCGGTTCTCAACGCCCAGCACGTCGTCTTCGAAGCCGCCAAAGCCTACAAGTATGGACTACCATATCACGCGGCACTTGCATCGGTGACAACGGCCCCAGCGGAGCGACTCGGCCTTGGTGAGCGCCTAGGCAAGATCAAGTCTGGGTATGACGCCGACATCGTGGTCTGGGACAGTGATCCCTTGAGTGTCGGTGCGACCCCGGCCCAGGTCTGGATTGATGGCACAGCTCAGTATGAGAGTCCATTCGAACTTCAGAAGCCATTTGAAGGGACGCTTGTACCGGATGAGGACCTCGGAAATATTGAGGAGGAGTTAGCTGCGGTTGACGGCGATGTGGTTTTCACTGGCATCTCAAAGATTCTCATGTCTGTCGAAAAGGCAGGCTTTGCCGCTGATGGGGAGAGCTACAACGTGGCCGTCTCCAACGGCAAGATCACTTGTGTCGGAGTCTGCGACCGTGAGCTCAAGACCGCGTCCAAAGTGAAGGGTGCCGTGATCCATATCAAGAACGGACATCTCTCGCCAGCTTTTACCGCCTTTGGCTCGACGCTGGGTCTGAACTACATCGAAACCGAAAGTGTAACGGACAACGGCGCGGATGGGGGTCGCTTTAGTCGCGGAGTCGATGGTCTGGCACTCGATACAGAGAAACTCCATGTGGCCCACCGATATGGTGTCACAAGGGCCATCTCAGCCCCGAAGTTCACCGGCATCGCGACCCACCACGGCACCAGTGCGGGGTTCCTGACCGGAGCGGAGACGGTACTCGACTCTGGGGCCGTCTTTGCTCGGGATGCCGCGCTACATTACACGCTTGATCTCTCAGCTAAACGGGGACTCGATGGAATCTCGTCTATGTCTGCAGCCGTCGGTGACCTGCGCAACAAACTCTTGAGAGCCGTGGCCTCCCTTGCGTCTGAAAAGCCCATCAACTTTGAAGAGAAGCTCTCAGAGGCTTCATTCCTTCGTGCGGTGATACAGGGAAAGATGGCTCTCGCGGTTACTGTTCATAGCGCCGATACCATCGCAGCCCTGTTGGATGTGAAGGCTTCAATCGAAGACACCATGAAAGAGGCCCATCTGGGCGACAGTCGTTTAAGACTTGTCGTTGTGGGCGGCGCGGAAGCGCATCTCGTTGCCGAACAGCTCGCGTCAGCCGGCGTGGGTGTCATCCTCGCCCCATCGCAATCTTTTGCAGTTTCGTGGGATCAACGAAGGGCCCTTACAGGAGCACCTCTGACCAACGGGACGGCGATCGATGTTCTAATCAACGCGGGAGTACTGACAGCCATCGGCCTTGAGGAAGATTGGCTCATTCGGGACTTGGGACTTCTCGCCGGGGTTGCATACGCCAATGGGGGACACAGGATAAGTGAGACGGCGGCACTTGATCTGATCAGCCGCAACATTTATAACATGCTAGGCTTGGCAGACGAGGAACGAGACCATTTCATGATATCATCGGGCCATCCACTTGATATTGGTTCCAGGGTAAAAGCTGTTGGAAACGGACAAAGGTGTTGGCGTGTATGAGTATGAAGGTCATCTATTCTGCTTTACGAATATTTTTCATTCACAAAATCCCGTCGCATTCCTGCATACGCGGCTGCTGCAGAACCGCACCTCATCCTCTGCCTTCAGGTCGAACTCGTGTTACGGACTTTGAGACGTGCTCCGACGTGGCCCGAAGGATGGAGAGTTCCCAGGCCAAAGGTTCTCAAGCTCATACCCGTCTCTCCACGCATCGCCTTGTCAGAAGTGATTTCACAGTCGTACAAGGTAATGAAATGAGCAACACATCCTATCAGAATGCGCTTCGCAAGGAATCGTCCTGGGCACATGTGCGCTCCGCCCCCGAATGGCAGCCATGATCCCGACTTGCCGTTGATGCTGTAGACAAACTCTCCGCTGCTGGTCTTCTCAGGCAAGAGAAACCTCCCTGGCCAGAATTCCTCAGGCGGATGGCTTCTGGCAGCCCCAGTGCACCAAACAGAGGGGTTCATGTGCTCAGTGGTCGAGTTGACGAAGAATAGTCGATGCCCGGGAACAAGGGAGCCCCGCACGTTCACTCCATCGACAGGTGTTTTGCGAGGGATGATGCCGTGGACTCTTAGGCGAAGGGTCTCGGCAAAGACGGCTTGCAAGAACGGCTTCTTCAAGAGTTTCTCCATGTCGAAACGAGGTCCGCCATCGACATCTGCGATGCGACAGTCTGCCACCTCTTCTTTCACTACACGCATAAGCTCTGGGTCGCGGCATATCTCCAGGATGGCCCAGAAAGCGGCCGGTGAGGAGTTAGCTGTGCCTCTACGAAAAAGTCAGTGTCACAAAACTTGTATGAGAAGGGACAAGGAAGACTTGTACATACCCCCAGAGAAGCCCCAGGTTGTGAGCTGCGATAGAAGAGAAAGGAAATCGGTCGACATCAATGTACATGGCTGTACGATCGCGGAAGAACGCATGGCCCCAGTAAGGATCGAATCCGTCCTCTGAGATTGTGTCGGGGTGGAAGTTCGCGACCGCCCACTCGTTCCATTCTTGAACAGCACGAAGGCACCTATCTCGAGCTTGGTATATGCGACTCATGAGGAAGTTAGGAAGGCGGAGAAACAGAAGGGTAATGTTGTCGTGGACGTATTGCCAGTCCTCCAAAAACATGGGGTTCTCCTTCAGCAAGTAAGGCCCACATAGTGTGTCGATGAAAGACCGCACAATCTCCATGTCCAACGACTCCTTCAGATCATGGAGCTCGTGTTCCGTGTTGCCCGCGGCCAGGTTTCGCATGTTCTTTGCCAACGCTTCGTCGAAACGGTCATTAAAACCCTTCGTCCCTGGACCAGAGAGGAGGTTACTGATGTGGTGGTGACTGCGGGCTCCGAAGTCATTTCGGACCTCTTCTTCACCATGCTTGGATGGACCATCTTCTTTTGCTTCTTCTTCTTCTGTCCAGAAGAGGCCGAGGTCTTTCTTAGGCAACAGAAAGACACGATGGACGAAGATGCCCTGAAAGAAGAACGTCGAGAGGGACTTGTTCTGAAAGGTGCTTCGGATATTGTTTGCGCCTTGAACGATGTAGCAGCTGAAGTTGAACCACTTGATTTGAAGTGGTGAAGCTCGATGAAAGAGGTCGCTGAACATCAGAACGGTTAGTCTTGCCTACTATTGGTGGGCCTCTACACAAGTAAAAAGGCACATACGACACGGTGAGAAACTTGAGGACGTCGAAGACCCCTCTCAAGTGAGACCAAGTAAGAGGAATAAGGCTCGATCCCTTTGCAGGCTTCTTGCCGGAGCTGATGTGTGGTCGGAATGGGGTGTTGGGAAATGCATATGGCAGAAGGAGGAAGATGAACGAGATTGCAACTATGGTCAAAGCCTTATTTGATTCGACCGGGACCAGAAACCCACCAAACGTGGTCGAGTTCTGGGCGATGATGGGCAGCCCAGTCCCTCCAGGCGCCACTGAAGCCATAACGTAAAATTGCAAGGCCTTTCAACGGATACTCGTTCACAGAACGGAGCGCACTCTTCCACTCCTTGCGTTCAAATATCAACCATTGCATTTTATATATACACCACATCCTGCCGCCCACCTGCGCAACTGTCGGAGCCCGATCCATCAATGAGTCCTGCGAGTTGCTGAAGAAAATCCTGTTCTCATTTTGTAATGGTAACAAGGGTTCATGATTGAGGGGCACTCCATGCTGCCAAGATGTTTCGACTGCCAAGATGCCTGCAAAAAATGCTTCGTCGGGAGTTGAAAGGAAGAAGCCGGCGCGGCTTTCCCACCCCGCGCGGAAGATCGTGAAGACGGGCTGGAGACAGAGCTCAATGCGGTAAGTTCTCCATCTTATCAATCAAATTTGATCTTATCAGATGGGATCAATGTAACGGTCCCCATCATTACTCGCAATTGCTCCACAACAGAATCTTTAGAGTTGCACGATGGTCTCCAGTGATAGCGTCCGCGATAGCGTACCTACGTCAATGCATCTCGATTTGAGTCTGGCCCATGTCAGTTACTGCCGAAGACCATTTAATCCTCGAATGAGGTGGTATCAAGCTCATCTGGCCCGCATGGAAGCTGAAATATGCGAGTATTGACTTGTCGCTCATTGGTGGTTACTAGAAAATCGAGCCCTTGCCCCTGAGGGCCATGCAAGGTTAATGCGCCTTAGGCTGTTGTCAAGACGATCATCCGTCAAATTTTCTTGGTTTTTGAAGCTTCATATCAACCGCTAAGGATTTTTCGTCCCGGATGAAGGTGGAGGCCACTCGCTTAGAAGACATGAAGTCGGGAAATGTAATCCGATGTCTAAACGGAGGACTTTTGGCATCAGACTTTTCGACTTCGCGTCCCGCGCACCCCGACGAGCAGAAAGTCGAAGAGGCTGGATCTGCCCGTTGAAGAAGCTCGTCTTCGCTCGGATTCAACTTTCCGCTGCAAGCTGACTTATTCCACCCGAAAATGACGGAAACGGTGCCAGCAATGGCCTGGCATAGGCTGATGTTTGCTGTCGGTGCCATCTCAATCTTTGCTGTGATTGTGCGCTTCATATATCGAGGATATCAACAACGGCGCTTTTATCGGAATTTGGTGAGTCAACAGCGCGCGGGTTACACTATTGATTGTCAAAGACTAAGATTGGCCACAGCCAGGCCCGCCTCACAGCTGGCTACTGGGCCATCTCAAAGCAGTCGGTGATGTAGCCGGGATACTGCCTCCCAATTGTCATCCGCAAGCTTACTACACCGAGCTCGCACGGCGACACAAACTCGATGGAATTTTCTACCTCGACCTCTGGCCAATCGGCCCTCCAAGCGTAATCTTGACACGGCCTGAGTTGTGCGACCAGCCTGCCATCATCAAGTGCGCTGTTCGGCACCCTGTCGCGGACGACACACTCACGCCAGTGGTTGGCCACGGTGGCATCGCAAACTCGAACGGGCCTTTGTGGAAGAAGTCGCACACCACGTTACTGCCGGCCTTCTCTTGGGCAAACATCCGCTCCCTGGCGAGCTTGATGGCTGAAGAGTGTATGCCATTTCGGAGTCTGCTGAGTAGGCTGTCTGAAACCGGGGAGGTATTTTCCCTGGAAGATGTAGCAGCGAAGCTTGTCTTCGATATCATCTTTCGTATCATCTTCAACTTCCCCCTCAACGCTCAGACAGATGGAAGCCAGGACCTTGATGATTTGCGAGAGTTGATGGCGTTCGCGGAAAGCCAGAGCGACCCGGCTGTCATGCTCAACCCGTTCGCCCGTTTGAAGATTTGGTGGCGAAGGAAGAAGATTTCCAAACAGCTTGACATTTCAATGACCAGGAAAATCCGAGAACGCTTTGTGGCACTGCCTCAAGACGAAAGCATATCATCCCGACGAAGTGCACAGTCCATCTTGGACTTGATGCTGCGCGAGCACCTCCCGACTCCATCGGAAGCAAGCAAAAAACGACCAAATGCTCGAATTCTGTCAGAAGCTGATGAGGCTGTGATTCTTTCCAAGTGAGTCAAAACCTGCTGTATCGATACAAGTACTGGCTAATTCATGGTCAGCATCAAGAATCTGCTCGTAGGAGGGCATGGGACGACGACAGACACCATTTGTGTAAGCTTAGCAAGATCCTACAATAACTATGGAAGTTCGACGTTCTCACAGCAGCTTCCCAGTTTTCCTTTATGCTTCTTTCTGAGGCGCCGGCGGTAGTCGAAACCATGCTTCGGGAGCACAGAGATGTCCTAGGATCCGACGTTAACAGCATCGTGAGCTCCATTGCAAACAACCCAGAAAGGTTGCAGACGCTGCCATACACCGAGGCTGTTATCAAAGAGATCTTGAGGCTATTTCCCATCGGATTCACGGTTAGACAGGCAGCCCCACAGGCAACAGTGAGCCATAATGGCGAGACATTCCCCATAGATAACGGCTTGATGGTCTGTATGAACGGTCATGATCTACACTACAATCCCGATTTCTTTCCGAATCCCACGGAGTTCTCCCCTGAACGGTGGCTGGGTCCCAATGAGATTCCAAGATCCCAGTTTAGAACCTTTGGAAGAGGTTTGAGGTCATGTATGGGAGAAAACCTTGCCATGAACGAGTTGAAGATAATCTTTTCGCTGGTCTTGGTGGACTTTTCCTTCAAGTGCTACGAATTGGCGCCGAATGCGAAAAACACAACTTCGTACACGGATTTAGATCAGACTTACGGCGACATCGTCTTTCAAGAGCTAGGTTTAGAGGCAAAGCCTCGAGGTGGGATGATGATGACCGTTCAAAGACGATAATAGGACTACGTTATCTGAAAATATGGTGATTTAGAAAGCCGAAGGCCCACCGTTCAATGTATTCCGCGAGTAACAGCTTCCATTCCGTCCTTGTACTCCAGCTTGTCAACATTTCGACTGGAATCAGTGCCCCCCTTGAAATTCTCCCTCTTGCAAATTGGAGTCTAACTTCGGCATACAGGGAATAGGGTCGTGGCTGCTGTATAAGGTACCTTGTATAAGATGCTGGTCTCGCCAGGCTTCTACCCAAGATGATCTCCCAACTTATTGCGTCATAATACCCGCTTCACGGAAAACGCTTTCCGATCCTTTTCTTTGTCGTATCAGATTTGGTGGGATATTCGCCAACATTTCCGTCTGCCTCCTTTTGTTGACTTGAATCTGACAAGGCTTTGAATGATGGATGAGTAAACTACCGATTATATCATGGTCAGTCATCTATCCATTGGCCTTTCAGCCTGTATGACTCTCCGAGACTGCTGAAGCCTCCAGGCTTTAGCACATAAACATTATGCAGTTGCACTTTAATCTCGGTAAACATCACGATGCGGAAAATAAGTCCGTGGTCTCTAACCGTCAAGCGTCATATTCTACGCATTGAACATAGACCGTGCTAATGACGGTGATGGTGTGCTATATCTGACAGCCGATCCGGTCACTCCTACCAGGGCAAAATAGAGTTTCGATGGTCGAAAGCTTGACACAAACAAAGCGAGACTCCGGATATCACTTGAGGGGTCACGTACATCACCATACAAGGTTGTATCTAATCATCGAACTCGCAGCTACTTGTTGATCCTTTGGAATGATATCAATGTCCACGTCTTGCTCTCCCACCGGCAAGACGATCAATCCCCTTTCCCACGCATGTTCCATTGTGCCGCTCTCCCACCGGCCCAAAGATTTATAAGCGTTTGCATGCCTGAGATTCATAGTTCTTCATAGGCAATTTGGCAGACGAAAATCAAGTTGCAAAGCATGTGTTCAGCATATCGCAAATCAGAGTTCTATCCTTTAGCAGCCCAGAACGTGGCGAGAAAGTGACATTTTTCAAAAAGCGGAAGAGGCTACCCAAGGGCCATGAACGCCCTTACCTTAACGAGGTGAACAAAATGAGCGAGCGCGCTTTAATTGAAGCGCATGAAATCGAGGTCTTAGGAATTAAGCATCTGTCTGGAGCAGCAAGCGTGCAATTCAAATCGAAGGGGAGGGAGGTGGTATTTTGACGTCAGCGGAAGGCTGTCTATCAGTCAGTCATTATCCCACTCGGCCTCCCACCCGATCAATTATTATCTCTGTGGGCAATTGTTTCTAAGCATGCTGCATGGATAGAGTCGTTGAACGGGAAGGAGAAGACTGAGTATTGTCTATGATGTGGAATCGCCGAATCCAACATATAAAAGGAGGAGGAATGGACCAGGGCATCGGAAATGCTTCACTGATCACACTTTCAACACGAGAAGTATCACTGAGAATATCCTGTTGAACTCATCTGATTCTTTTACGATGGCCAATACTTTCTTTCTTGTCTTGGCAGCCGCTATTGGACTTTTCGCAACGGCTTCATCTTTCTCTCCGGAGCCTGCTTCTCTTGTGGTCGAAAGAGTTCCTTCGAATGTTAGGCCATATGTACTTCGATACTCTAACGGAGATGCTTATCAAATTGGCGCCGACATTTACAGGGTCCTGGTGACAGATCAGTCTTCGGGTGGCGCTTTCACCTTGTTTACGGAGAGCGGAAGGGAGAATCTCCAGATAACCACGCACCGCCACCACCGCTACTACGAAACCTTCTTCGCAATCCGCGGAGGCATGACGATGTGGATCAATGGAGAGACACGCGCGATACAGGCATCGGACTTCGCTACTGTCCCTCAGAACCAAAACCACTCTTTCCAGTTCACTGAGCCCGATACCTTGATGGCGAGCTTCATAGCACCAGGAGGGTTTGAAAAATGGATTTACAACGTCTCAGAACCCTTTTCGAGCGAATTCGATGCACCGTTCCCGCCGGATCAACCACTGCCTTATCCTGTGGACAAGATCATTGCCGCAGCAGCTGACGGAAGCTTCGACATTACGATCGCCCCAGATGCGGCCTTGTCGCACAACATGACAAACGGTACCTCAAACCAAGGGTTGCCTTGGCATAATGGAAATAGCGATTTGCCGGGTAACCCAGATGAGCCGTACTTCGTCGCCAACAATCGGGGCCCAAAGTTCCTTCATCGTTCCGAAGGTCAGGTCATCGCGCCTCTGGTGAGCAGTAATGAAACGTCCGGAAATGCTACTATCAGTATCATCACAATCAGGAGGAGAACGCTGGGTAGCGAAGCACCGCTGCGCAAATCGAGCGGCTCACAAGTGATGTTGGTCCTAGACGGGCAGTTGATGATCTCGGTGGCAGGGCAGAAAGAAAATCTCCTTACGGGCGATGTCTTCTTCGTGCCACCTGATACTGAGTACAGCTACTGGAGTGACGTCGCTTTCACTAGGCTGTATGTTGGTGCGACATCTGGTGATGATGGATTGGCGGACCAGTTGATGAGGGATGCAGAGGACTGGGGCTTCGCGCTGTATCCTTCGACTTGATATGACGTCCGCCCCGAAGAGGTGCTTTGAAAGCCACGGAAGAAGTTTCTGGTTACACAAGGCAGATACTGAAGTTATCCTTGGTCGTGTACGTTGGTCTGGGATCATGATGTTAGGCAAATGTAAAATGGAGTCGACAGACATCCTGAATATTTCTAGGTATTCTTCAGCTCGACGGCTTGATTGGCATGACTTTGATAGCACACACGCCTTAGTTAGTTCAATTGGCTACAAGTGAAAGCTCCTGTGAAGTTACTACTTCCTAGTACCTCGACCCGAGTACATAGTGTTTCATCCATTGTGCAACGACTCAGATACGATGGAGGAAGTCTTTGTTCAACCTGTCTACGACTGTGTACTGCAGAAATGTTGCGGAGTCTCAATTCTCTGGCATGTCGTGTCGCTTACACTCATAGCAAATTCAAGGTGATGTCGCATCGTCTGCGTTTGGGAGACAGAAGAACAAAGTCAACAACATCCATGCTGTCTGCAGGCATTTTACTGCTGAGCCTCGCCCCCCGACATTCCCGAAAAAAGATCGCCGCAGAAAGTCGAAGTTCCATCATGGCCAAGTGCTGGCCAATGCAGACCCTCGATCCACCACCAAGAGGTATCATAGCTTGCCTTTGTCGCAATGTGACCGCCGCAGAGTCTAGAAAACGGTCGGCCTTAAATCTGGAATCATGGTTAACTCTAGAAACAAATCAGACGACAGGATAGGTATACCGATGAGGTTCATGGAATATCTCTGGGTCTCTGTGAAGGGTGTAGGCAGGACTGTAAACCACTGTACCTGCTGGGATGTAGTGAGCTGACAGAGTAGCACCTTCCTCGGGAACAGTCCGGGGTAGAGACGATGGAACCGCTGGATACAACCGCAACGTCTCTTCGATTATGGCATTAAGAAGAGGGCAATCGTCCAGGGTCTTGTCATTGAAGTCATCACCAAGCTGAGACACCTCATCCTCGAGTCTTCTTTGTAGTTCCTTCTGCTCCAACACCGACCAGATCAGATAGGTTAAAACTGCGGCAGTGGTATCTGACCCAGCAACCATCATGCCTGCAGCCTCTATTCGCACAGTATCATCGTTGAGCCATTGCCGTCCCTCCCTCTCGCAGTCGATGATCATTTCTTTGAACAGACTCCTGGTCTTGTCGTCTTGCCGGTAAAGCTTCTCAACCCCAACCTTTCCCGCCGCATCACACTGTTCAAGGCAGCGAGATACTGTCTGGAGCGACGATTTGGGAATCGATCGGAAGAGGAAGTGCAAAATTGGGAGCTCGCTTTTGAAGACTGCTCCAAGCAAAGCGTTCTCAATTGCTCGCATGTAAAGCGTGCTCTTGGTCTATATTAGCGGAGGTCAACGCCTGAAACGAGGGCCATCCTTGGCTTACCTTGCCCAAGCCCAGCATACCAAAGGACTGGCCAAAAGACAGGAGACTGATGATGTCCGCAGCCATCAAAGTCCACCATTTATGAGTATTAGCAGTTCCCCGCATCGCTTCATCCTTGATCTTCGACACCGCAAGTTCCACATTCTGACGGATCTCACTCTCCCAGTTTTGTCGCAGAGATGTGAGCGTAAAGGAGCGCTGAAGCAACTTCCGTCGCTCTTTCGCTTCCTGCTTGTCGGTGAGAAAGGACAGAGAAAGTGCCGGGAGCTTATCAGCAAAATCGCCAACCCACTGCGCCTTCTCGAAACCACCACCCATCTTGTACACCCGGATGACCGAATCGAGATCGACACATGAAATCTCATTGGGGGCAACTCTGACCAACTTTCCGTATTTTTGGTGAAGATTGTAGATATAAGTCATTCGAGTTCCGGTCAGCCGACTTGCCTTCAGTCTCCATCGACAGAACCGAGTGTGCCATGGGCCCGGGATATGGCTGAGGGGCGATCGTAGACCCGTCCAAATAATCTGCGGTCTGTCAGTTCTGAAGCGTAATTGAAGAGGTGACTCCAACCGACGTTGAGAAGCACGTAGGCTGCAACTGCAACTAGAAAGAAGAAACTCCCACCACTGATGGATAGGCTGTCCGGAATCGTTATCGAATATCCCATTCTGGTAAGATTTGTCGATGCTGGACATGATCCTGGAGATACAAAAGCAAATTCTTCATGTGCGATGATCAGGCGATGGCTTTTTATCTGGATCTCTCTCTGTGCCAGTAGCATGGGATGACATCGCGTGAGATCCTGTGCCCCTGAGGTGCATCTTGTTTGCCAGGAAGTTCTCAAATTGGACAGGGCTGCCCCCACGAACTATTCAGCTGATGGAGGTCCTAGACCAACAGGATACTCGCTTTCCCAACTGTGCCTCAAAGTAAGGCTTGGGAGAGCCCCTGGTTACCCGGACCATGTGGTCTAGGCCTTCGGCTGAAAGAGCAAACTTGCTGTGAGATTGGTATTGGAACCAACGGATTTCAGCTAGGCAAATGTGACAGCGAGAACGACACCCACCTACCAACAAACATACCGAATTTTGCCGGGGTTTCTTTCAGCCTGACTGGAAAGCTGAAGAATCCAAGGCACGCCGCACAAACTGCTTGGCTTCACCTCAACGATGAGCGCAACCAACACACATGATTTTGAAGGATCAGTATGTGTTGAGCACGTATAGACGGGAAGATAGAGATAAGGCCTGCTGACTAGTTGATGTGGTGGAAGAGCTGATGAATTTGATCGATCAAGTGACGAGATGAGCTCCTCATGGCCGAGGATTTTGCCGACTCCTTGGAGCAAGCACTAGGGGCCCAAGCCTTCGGGCATGTCACGATAAGACAAGCAGGATTGGGAGTGAAAGCTTTCATATGAGATAAGTCGCAATTACAGATGCGAGGAAGGTGAACAGCAAAAAAAGCATTGTGGCCCTTCAAACATACATCCCAAGACGTTTCAAAACCTTTGCACATGGAGTTCACGCCGTGTGGTGTCTTTAATAACCCAGAATCATTATAGAAATCTTGAAGCTGAACATAATTCTTCAATCCTCGATCAACTCGCTTGAGAAAGGCGACCAGTGCAGCCACTGGAATGCTTGGACATGGTTGGAATTTGCAACAATAAAGTGGCTCGTGTTCTGGTGCTCCTAGTCTGAAGGGTCTTGGGAGACATTGACGGCTTTGCGATTATACTTCGTCGGTAAGTGCCGTACCGGACGTGAAGGCTTGCCCGTCCGAGTTTGACTTGCGAGTTGCTGAAGTTTAAAGATTATTGAAATATGTATTATTCAGCAGCCTCATCCGAAGATTCGATGAACACTCGGCGCCGAATTAAGTTACATGACAAACCAAATACAGCATGTCAACTTGCTCTTAGAGTTGGTGATGTCTGGATCAAACCGAACAACGGTTTCTTGTTTGTGGGGTACTGCAATTGCGAACTCAATGGGCACATGTGTTTCTTAGACCTCGGGCGAATCATGAGCTGCATGCTGCAAGGACGGTAGGAAGAAGAACTGTAAATCTGGGCGACGAAACACCCTCAACACCAACCCCGAACCAGCTCGGAATCCGGTGGGATTCACGTCGTGGGCAGCCCGGCCGGCATCGAAGCCGAGCGAGTGGTCCTTCACATGGCGGCAAAGGCGGCTGTGGGGCCGTGCTCGATCGGTGGGCGGGGAGAAGACGCTCCGACGGATGGAGACCCGAAAAGCCCGAGACCCCGATGGTTGTGGACGAATGCGGTTTCACAGCTAAGATGAATGACGCACACGAAGGAATGGCTGTAGCTCCCTTTTACGCGGGATAGCTGGATGGATGTGCTGGCCAGAGCTCCGCGTAATAGCTCTCGCGAGCTGCCGCACCGGAATCACCTCATCGTAATGCGATTGATGCGAAACAACGAACGGGATTCCACCGTTTCTCTCCACGAAAGACCATCCCTTCTCATAGCCGGTGGAAACCTTGGCTATTTCTGGGTTGCATCAAGCATGTAGGGCTCCGCGCAGCCGTCTGGTGTTCCCTCCGGCTCGTCCGGGGCCAAAGGTCCCATTGGAGAACAATGGGCGGGGAGAGTTTCACGTCGCCTTCGCTGTCCGATCGCCTTGACGTCAGCTGACGATTAGACCTCTAGGTGTTGGCGTAGTCGATTCTTCTGCCTGCGGTGGTCTGGCGTGCTATGGCGTGGTGTTTCTTTGATGTCGGCGAACAAACTACTCCCTTATCTACCTTCCTGCTACCTCACCCACCCCTAGGCTTGGTTGACATCCTGCATTCCCTCTTATCAACCTTTTCCATCAAAATCAAGATAGTATTGTTATCAGGGAATTGACAAAAATAATTCAATATGAAGGCTATCGCTGCCCTATCCTGCGTGGCCGTTGCCAACGCATTTATCCTTCCCGACCCTCAGATTTTCGAGCAAGCGTCGATCCAGAATGACGAGCGCCCCTCCTGGTGGGACCGCATCCCGTCAAAGGATTCCATCGTGAACACTGTCGAAGAGGGCTTCGACTCGTTGTCCTCCCAGATTGAGGGTGCCCTGCACACTATTGAGGACACTGTCGAGAACAAGTTTGAGCACATTTTCGAGGAGGAAATCTTCAATGATGAGGGCGATACTTCCGACAAGTCCATCTTTGACCTCGTTGCCGGCAGCAAGTACACCACCACTCTCGCTAAGCTCGTTAGCGATTACGACGACATCGTCGAGGTGTTGAAGAGCACCAAGGCCAACCACACCGTCTTCGCACCGACCGATCGGGCTTTTGCGAAGCTCCCCAAGGGCTTGAAGCTCAGCAAGGAGGCCATCAAGTCTATTCTGCTGTACCATGTCGGTGTTGGCGTGTACGACGCGAAGAGGGTCTTGCGCACCCACACGCTCCCCACGCTACTGAATGAACCCTGGCTCGGTGACAAGCCTCAGCGTCTTCGCACCAGCGTTGGTCTCGGTGGTGTCCGCGTCAACTTCTACAGCAAGGTTGTTGCAGTCAACATCGTAAGTAATTAATCCACACTCTCAATTGCTACCATAGTTTCACGTGCTGACTACTTTTTCCACAGCGTGCGAACAACGGAATCATCCACGGCATCGACAGCGTCCTCCTTCCTCCTCCTCTGGTCGGCCGGGAGCTCACCCTCCTGCCCAGCCAGTTCTCGACCTTGCTCCTAGCCTACGAGAAGACGGACTTCGTCAAGTACATCCACGGCGTCAAGTCTACTGGCACCACCGTCTTCGCCCCCTCCAACAATGCCTTTGCCCGTCTCGGACCCAAGGCCAATGCCTTCCTGTTCAACAGCCCGACCGGCCTGAAGTTCCTCAAGGCTCTGCTGAAGTACCAGATTGTCGCGAACACCACCCTGTACAGCGACGCCCTTTACCGCCCCGGTAACAAGGAAGCCAATGTCATGGAGCACTACCACGTGGACCTCCCGACTCTGCTGGGCGGCAAGAACATTGCTGTTGATGTTGCTGTGTGGCGCGGCTTCAGACGCGTCAAGCTCAATGGCTACATCCCCATTGTTGTTGCTGACGGCATTGCCAAGAACGGTGTCATCCACGTCCCTGCTCGCGTCCCCATCCCCCCTCACAAGCACAAGAAGGACAGCGAGAACGGCGAGATTAGCGTCCAAGATTTGAAGGAGAGATTGGCGGAGTATGTTGACGAGGACGATAAGCAGGACGATTTTGGATGGTCTGCTGAGCTCTAAGTGAAGCACATGAAGACGGGGAATGCTGTAGCTCTGCCCCGTGCATAGCACCAAGGAAATCAACAACAGCGCAAGGGAAGCGCTGTGAAAATGGATCACATCACCCATAGCAAGAACGGTAAAAGTCTATCATGAACGCCAATACAAAAGCATTCTGACTCGGAATTCGTCTTGCAATCACCAACGTCGCTATGCATGTGTAGAAGAGCTCTAATCGGAGGCCTGCAGCTAGCGAACCAAGTCACGCCCCAAGCAGGTTCTTGCATCAATCAGTGCATAGGGCTCGGGTACATCAACCTGTTTGTCAATGCTTTTACTCTGTGCAGCAATCCAAGTCCGAAGCAAGACAGCGCGCCACGAGTGACCCATTCAGTGGACTGTAAAATCCCTGTATTCCGACTTCAGACACAACCAGTGACGGCCATTATCGTCTTCCCAAGCTGCCGGAGCTGCTGCACCGGCCACGCGAGACACAAGGGGCTCCCGGACTCGTGGTAGCGCTGCTCTCAACTCATTTCGCTAACCGTCCAAAGCAATCCCCGACTTCAGCCCTACCTCCCCGACACAACAGAGCATTCCAGCTACTTTATTGGATCCTCGGGTACGCTTACAGCGATCAGGCTTGTAAGGCCAGGGAAGCTTGCGTCGCGGAGAGCTTTGCCAATACAGGCTGCATCTTCAACACGCCATTCAAAGGTCTCACGAACGAAAGAGATGCCACTTTGGGACTCCTTCTCACCTGCATCGGCCAACAGTTATCGGCAGTCTCCTGTCACAAGATACCATCACTGCCCATCCAGCCATTTACGCCTCAAAGCGGTGCCAGCCCCTTGGACCCGCATCAACCTAGTTCAGAGCCGGCTACCGTAGCCTTTCACGCCAAAATCCAGCTCTGCCGTCCCTGAATCCGCATCGCGACTGGTGTCGCCGAGGTGGCGCATGGGCGCAGGCTTCAGCTGAGGGGGGGACGGAACGCCTCTTCCAGTTTACACCTGCTTCGATTGGCTCCCAACCTTTTTATATCCGCGCGAATGCAGGACAACATGTGAGTGGGAAGAGACGTGGCCCCAGATGCGGTCAAGCGGCCTCCCTAGAAGCCACCGAAGGCTGGACCGCGCCGGCACGGCGAGGAAACGACGAACCAGGGTTCGGGAAAGATGCGAGTCCTGGGCGGTGCTCGGCTTCTTGTCTTGGGGCAGATGCAGCAGGCTCGGAAGAAAATAGCAGCAGGCTCTGGGTCATGGAATACACTAGGACGGGAGACAATGCCCGATGGGAGGAGCATTATTGAAGCGCCGAGTGGCTCAAAAGATGCAATTCTCCCTGCGACTGCGGCGTCGGGAAACGGCTCTGGTGAGCTCTGCTGTTTTCCGAGATCTTTTATTCAGAGTAAATCAGTACTGGAAGACGAAGCAACGGGTCCACACCGTCGGTAACGGCCGTTGAGTCAAAATGCATCAGCCTCCGCCCGCTGATCAGTCGACCTTCGACTCACAGGCGCGGTACAACCTTCAAGCCACGGAAGATGTCGACGACGAGCAGCATTTTGTCGAGGAGGAGAAGAAGCGGACCATCCAGTTGCCTAAAAGACCAAACTACAAGCCGAAGCCGTTGCGATGGCCGTTCATTACTGTCGTTATTCTTCTGCTCGGGATCCTCATGGCTTTGGTCATTGTCGCCAGGACGACGATGCCTAATTCTGACAGCACGGCGACCATTGAACCCAGGCATATCTTAATGTACCGGCAAAATGGAACTTCAGATGGGCAGTCAACATCGACCGATCCACCGCCGTCAACGTCCCCGGCCGAAACCAACTCGACACCGGCAACGTCCTCCTCCACGGCAACTGCTGTGCCGAGTACTTCGACTGTAGCGAACCTCCCTATCAGTACCGGCCCCGACCTACCAACAAGTTCTGGATCTCAAACTCAGGCAACATCAGAACAGCCATTACGGGCCTCGGAGTCATCCACATTGCCTAGTCGCTCTATCTTAGAGGTGTCATCTCCAGAAGTGCCATCTTCAGAAAAGCAGGAAGTCGTGCCCACTTCAGATCACGCCGTGGTAGCACCTGACCAACCGACCATCACTGTGATTCCGGAGTCAAATCCGTCTGACGAGACTGTTCGGGCGTCTTCGAAGAACCCTATTACCACTGCGGCTCCGGAGCCAACGGACTCGACATCATTCTCATCGAAGACTATGGTGGAGACCACAAGCACTGCTTCTGAGACACAAACTACATCCTCTATCAATTCGAAAGACAGCATTGTATCAACAGGTCCAGAATCCAGCTCTACAACCGCCAAGACAGGAACAACAAGCAGTTCAGACAACGAGTCAAAGTCTGCGTCGTCGACAAAGTCAGAACGCAGTGCTGACGCAACTTCATCAAGCACAGGCCGTCGAGGGAAAGAGGGTCCGGCCATCACCGATACGACTTCTGGATCCGAGATCACGTCGTTCACGTCAAGTACCAGCCGCGGTCGGTTCAAATTGCCTGTTATCACCAGCGAATTCACAACAACCATCACCAAACCTGGTTCCACTACCACATACACCAACGAGGTCACCATCCATGTGCCTTCAACCTTCACGTCAACCGGAAAGACAACGATACCCGGAACCCAAGGCGTAACGACGTACACAGACGTCCGCACAACCAGCGTACCGCGTACCATCACGAGATCGGGCGTGGCGAGCTTCCCCCACGTGACAATAATACCAGTCAAACCAACGATAACTAGTATCCAAACCATTAACCACGAGCCGACCGTATCGGAAGTCGTGGAGACCTCCTTTGAGCCCACAGAAATCACGTACACCTCGACGTCCGCTTTTACCGTGCCACCACGCACAAGCGATGTTACTTCCGTCATCGTCAGTGCCGTGCCGTCAACGGTCGCATCCGTCGTCACAAGTACAAGCCCTCCTCAGGTCTATGTGTCAGTGGGAACCACCGAGATTACCAAGTTCATCACCGTCCCTGGTGGGAACCGAGGCAACGAGCCGCAGACCCAGCCTCCAGTCTTTCAGGTCATTACCAGCGTTTACGACGGAAAGGTCGAAACATTTGTGGACAAGGGCACCCTTCCACACTCAATCCAGCAGGGGCCGGCGCATTCAAAGAGATGGCCACCACGATTAACGGAAAGGCGACCGTCGTCAACGTTCCTGTCACTCAGGAACCAGTACTACTGGCTGTACAGACCATAATCGATGGCACACCGACCGTTCTGTGGATCAATTCTGTGCCAACAGCAGGCTTCAGTCCCATTTCATTGACCCTGGTGTCGGAGATTGGCGGCATTACCGGTGTATTCACGACGATAGATCCTCTAGAGACTACCAAGACAACGATAGACGGTAAGGAGACTACCATAATAAGGACGCCGGGACCACGGACGTTTACATCGGTGTCGGGAGGGACTCTGACGACCATGACCATCATCACTACCCCGACCGGCACAATGCCTCTGTCTTTCACGGTCATCACGACCATAGGAGGCACCTTGAGTACTATCATATCCACTCCCACACCTACTACGTTCACCACCTCTATCTCGGGCACATTGAGGACCATTACCTCCACGCCAAGTCCTACAACTCGCTTATCAACCATCAAGCCCTCCACCACGCTCATCACCTTCACGACCAAACCAACAGCAACAGACAGCCCCGATCGGGTCATAACCGATATCGAAAAGTTCGGTTTTACTAATGGCGACTACTTCGTCGGGAAGTTCCTCCCAATCATCCTTGCAGTCATGATTGCGGTTCCTCTCCGGATCATCGACCTCAACGCCAAGCTGTACCAGCCTTTCCACGCTCTCGCACGGGAAGGAGGCTCGTTGGGGAAAAGCAGCATGACCTTGCAGTTTGATGGCTGGAAAGGCTTCTTGACCCCCTTCGAGAGTTTATTGCAGGGTCATCCGGTCCCTTTCATCACAACATTAATCATATTGTGTTCATCTCTACTTGCACCTTTAGCGACGGAAGCTATCGGGATGAAACTTCATGGCACTTGCAAGATCACAGCAATCGAGGGCTGTGGCATCCAATTGGGTGTCTCTCCAGTATCAAGCTACGCGCTGGTCGCCCTGATTGCCTTCATCGTATTCTTGCTTCTCGTCTTGCTCTTTTTCCTTCGGACTTGGGAAACAGGCCTCCATGCCAACCCCTGGAGCATAGCCGGAATCTCCTCCCTTGCGCGCAACTCGGACATTCGATCGCATCAAATCGACTTCAAAGCCAGCGCAAAAGCGATGACAGACAAGCGATATGGTTTTGGCTACTTCGAAAACAACCTCGGCCGCGACGAGTACGGCATTATCTACTGTGACGACTCAGCCCAGAGTCTCCAAGGCGCAACAGCTTCCGGCGCAATTCCAGCAGACGACGAACTCACTGGCACGTACCAAAGGGACATTGCAAAGAAAAGCCGTAAACCGGTGCCTTTCATTGCACTTACGTGGTGGTGGCGACTCGGGTTCATCTTCTTCCTCACTGCCTTGTTTATCATCATATTGTACTATCATCTCACACTGGGCGTTCGAACTTCTTTTAAAGACTTCATGGATAGTCAGACGTTTGGCGTTCGGTTCTTTTTCGCGGCGTTGGGTGTTACCATTATCTTCTGCTGGGAGTCTATTTTCATCACTAAGTGCACCGAACCCAACCTCAATTTCGCTTAGCTGACGTGGATCTTGAAGGCATCGCAATAATCAGCCCCTACCACAACATGGGTCGTCGCTCCCAGCCCCCGGAGAAATCCATCCTCTTGACTCGTCCAACGAACGGCTTCTACGGACTCTACGCGGCGATATTGGAGGGCAACATCATTCTTATGCTGGCAGCTTTCATGTCCATCCTTGCCGAATTCCTGCCGATTCTCTTCGCAAACGTGCCATACAACCTGACGCAGACTCTGAAATCCCACAATGTCTGCGCGACCATCAGCCTTACGATTCTTGCGCTCATGTTGGCCTCCATGGTGGCAAGCCTATTCATCAAATGGCCCGAGCTGCCAGTCGATCCGCGCAGTATCGCCGGAGCCTTGTACTACGTCGCAGAGAGTCGGATGCTAGAGGATTTCGAGGGACTTTCAAAGCTGGACTCTGAAGAGAGGGAGAAGAAAGTCAAGGAGCTTGGGCGGAGGTACTTCTATGGAGGCCTCACGGGCAGTAATGGTAAAAGAATGGGCGTTGAGTCTGTTGAGAGCGTTGAGGACACAGCATATACCGGTGGTCACTGGTTCTTACCTCCACAAGAAGACCAACAGGGTGATGAAGACAATCGAGGAGAGACGGTGCAGGAATCTGAGGTACCTCGTCAAACCGAGCAGACTTTGCATTTGGAAACAAGGCAGGAGGTTAATCAAGAGGATGACGTCGATCGAGGACCCGTGCTACCAGACCCGCACGGCCTCTAGAGGCGAAGCAGGGTTCCGAAGGATTCAGTTGATGCTTCATCACGTAAAGCATTGCCTAGATCAAGAAAGTAAAGCGAAAAAAGTGAAGTTGAGATGTATTATTAAGAAAGTGGTGCCAAACGCATCTACCATTACAGACTGGCGGTGACTCGGGAATATCTAAACGCAGAAAGACTTTTCGGATCTTTGGACAAAGGAAATGTTGATTCATATAATGCGCGTGAGGCTTAGCATCGAGCGTTCCCCTTGGTAACAGACTTGATGTAAGACTTCACCTTCTCATATTTGCCTCCTCGCACATTTTCGATGTGGGTAAGCACACGAGGGTAAACCTCTTCATGGGCAGTAGGACTCATCCAAGCATCAAGATGGCCGCGACCTTCGAAGACTTGCCTCTCGTAGCACATGCCGCCGTTGACCTCGCTGAGGGTGGTGAAGGACTTGTCGGTGTTCTGCGGGTCGTAGACTGCGTTCTCAGATCCGGAGAAGAGGAAGATGGGAAGACCCTTGAGACGAGCAATATTCCCCTGTGTGGTAAGTTCGACATTCCGAGAGTCAAGAACATTCTCTGCGAGACCGCTGTCCATAAGGTGGCGAAGGCTCTTCATCGAGGTACCTCCGAGGAAGTTCTCCAACTGGGCATGGGTGGCGTCATTCAGGTGCTGGTGTGACCAAAGGCTAGCATATCGAAGTTAGCAGGTGAAAAAGTTGGAATGCGTGATCATGAATTGGGGCTCTTACCGTCCAAATACAAGAGAGCTACGATGACAAACGACAGAGTTGCAAATCTCGTCACGACGACCGACGGGGTAGAAGCGGAGCGCCTGGTTGATGACCTGCTGAATGATGCCATCCTGGGAGGAGCTCGAGCAATCGTACCAGTTGCCCTGGAAGAGACTGTAGATAGACGCCATGGAGATCGGAAGGCTGGCCTTGATCTGATTGACCTTGGCAAACATTGGGTTCATGAAGACTTGGGAGGCAGTCACGCCACTGAGCCACTGGCGCGGAATCGTGCCGTCAAGCAGACCTGAGGCGAGAGCAACAGAACCAGCGCAGTGAGCAACGACGTATGTTGTGACGGATGGTCCACTTCCGCTATCCTCGATGTGATGTCTTCGGCGAATTTCCTCGAGAGCGGCCTTGAGATCCAGTCGAGCATCATATGTGGTCCAGTTTTGCTGGGCAACGATGGTCTTGCCCACACGGTGAACCATCGAGTACACTCGGAACCCCTTCGCACGGTAGTAGTTGACAGCATTCTTCTCGATTGTGGGCAAGGCGAAGATCTGCTGGTCAACAGCAGCACCGGGGATAAGGAACACAATAGGCGCGTCCGACTCGTCCCAGTTGCGCTTCTCGTAGGGCTCATAAAATTGAGGGCTCCAGTAGAAGAGCTTGGTCTTGACACGATCGCTTGCATGGAGTGTTATCTCCTCCGTGTATCTTGAGGGGTTCTGGTAGTTGTTGAATGGCAGACTGGGCCACTGCATAGGAATGAACGGTGTAAGGAAAGCACTGGCTGCCTTGGCGGTGAAGTAACCGAGGAAGTTGGCAGTCGAAGCAACGCGGGAGTAGAGAGTCGAGCCGGTAGTCTCCATGGTGGTGCATTCCTGGAGGAAAGAGGTGGGACGAATGTGGATGATACCCTTGCCGAGAACATTGTTTTCGTCTCCCATACCACCAGTCCCAAGCTCCGTGATGGTGCAGTACAGGGTAGTAGTAGCCTTCCAGAGGTTGAGAGGGTTGAGGGTGACATCCGGATTGACGACCTTGTATCCGTTGAAGTGGAGCTTCTGGCCGTTGGGGCACGATATGGTAAAGTTGTACGTGAGGTTCGTGGTGTCAGGTGCGCGAGGGTCGTCATTGAAGAGTTGGAATTTACCGCCCTGTACCATGCAGGTTCCGCCGAGCTTGGGGCAGGTAAAGGTTCCGGTGAGAGTGGCCGGGTGCTCCTTGTCATGGACAACTATGCCAGGTCAGCTTCTGTGTTCGAGTCTCTGGCGCAGGTTGACTTACGGTTGTGGGTGTTCCATGAGCGAGCGCTCAGGAAGAATCGCGCAAACTCGCCACGACCGCGAGCAGTGGCCGTCGCGTGTTCGAAAGACAAGTTGTTGATCGTCTCGTTCTTGTCACGGATATGAATCCAGCCGTCCATCATCTCAGTGAAGGCAATACCGGCAGTGTTGTCATCTCTGGCAGTCTGGATGATGTCTTGAACTCTCATCACTTGGAGAGCATCTTCACGCTGTAGGCTCTCCGGAATATGTGCGGGCTTTCCGAAGAGATTGAGAGACCCTTGTACGTGTTAGCATATCGGAAATATCATCACAAACTCGCCCAAAACTTACCATTGCGATCCTCCCTGATAGTCAAGTGTCTGTCTTCGGCAATCTTCTCCATCGATCTCTCGGCGAGGGCGGTGATGGTCGCGAAGGGGTTAACTCCGAGAGCAGCAGGGACAATAGTGCCGTCGCAAACGATGAGGCCAGGGTGGACCTCTTCCCCATCACCCTTGAACAACTGGCCTTTGTCGTTGACACCACCGCCAGCACCAGTACCGTCGTTACTGATGCGTGCGCCGCCACTACAATAATCATGTAAGCAGCTATTCAGAAAGACAAGGGATACTCAATTCCTTACATTGCGTGGACTGTGATCTCCTTCTCTCCGAAGGCGGCATAGAATGGGCTGTCAACGTAAGTGCCCCCAATCAGGTTGGTGATCTTCTGGAGGTAACCCGCAAGCTTAGTAGCTCTCTTGGAAGTGCCGACGCCAGAGAAGTTGATCAGCGGCCTGTCATCGACCAAGTTCATTGTTGCTTGGCTGCCTGAGGAGAAAGTCAGTCGCGTCTTAATGATGAGGTGGAAGGGTTTCACTTACTGTCGTGCGACATGATCAAGTAGCACTGGGTTCTCTCAGTGCTCCCCAGTGGGTTGTAAGGTCCAAAGACGCGAGCACCCACAGCAGCAGCCAAGTGGTCGGCCTTCTGACCAAAGGAAAGATTGTGCGGGAAGACACGACCAGGGAGGTACTGGAGCATAGTCTGGTAGAACGGTGCCAAGGCGGCGGGAATGGCACCCTCTTCGATCACAAAGCCGTCGAGGGGGTTCTCTTGGTCACGGCAGTCGATGACACCCGTGATGCATGGCCCGACAGCACGGTTCGGTGGTGGGTCTGGTCGCCCCATAGAGTTGACGTACTCATTGGTGTTGTAACTGAGATTGGTCAGTAGCTGCTGTGTTCAGGCGGCCCTTTCTTATTCTTACCCGAAAGCCAAGATGTCACCGTTGCCACTCATACCCTGGCCGACATCCTTGCTCATTTGAAGGCCAAACTTCTGGCTGCGAAGCAGAATCTCTGTGGTACCAATACTACCGGCGCCAAAGCAGACCAGTTCCTTTGCATGAACCCACATGAGGTCTTCGTAAAAGATGTCCTGGAAGTTTGCTCGCTTGCCTCCATGCCAGGCAAAGTAAACAATGTAGCCGTCTCTGTCAGGGGCTTCAGTGACGTAACGGACCTCACACTGGCAGAACATCTCGGCACCCCAATTCCAGGCATCGCTGAGATAGTTGACCAGAGTGGTTGACTTGCTTCCGTCATTGAGACCCGTGGTGTCTTGGCCAGTGAGTGAAGATGCCTTCATCGAGACACCAGTGCTATTGTCTCCGTCGACGAACTTGGTCGTTTGAGGCACGCGGTAGAACTTATCGCCCCATCCCATGAGCTTCGCCTGCTTCTCAAGCGTCTCCAACTTGGGAAGCTTGGGGTAGTCCTCTGGGTATTGTGCCGGCTCCAAGACTTTGCGAGCCTTCTCGTAGTCTGGTACACTTTAGTCTCTTTTGAAGCAATCCACATCGTCCAAAACTTACATGGCTTGAGGTTATCGCCTCGGAGTTCCTCGGGCCAAATCGGTAGGCTCATTGTACCAGGGTCCGCCTCCAAGAAGACATTGGCATTCAGGAGACTAGTACCTCCCAGACCGTTTCCGACGAAGGCGTTCTGGCCATCACCGACAATGAGGTGGTAGAGACCAGTAGGGTCACCTCCTTCGGCAAACTTCCCAAGTCTGCCGAGTACGCCGTCCGTTGCTGCATTGGTCATATGCAGCTCTTGGGCAGCACCCGCAATTCCAGAGGGAAACTCTCCGGGCCACTTCTCTTTCCCGCGCTCTAGTAGACAGACGGTCTGTCCAGCTCGAGCCATTCGACTGGCGGCAACGGCCCCACCATAGCCGGAGCCGATGACAACAACATCGTATGAGGGCCGAATCAGCTCAACGGGGCGCGAGATGCGAGGGTACGTGCCGGTGACAGGGTCGAAGTTGTCACTGCCATCGTTGTAGCCGTACTGCGGATCTCTGAGATCATCCCGCAGCTGCGGTGTTCCGTTATGCTGCGGCTCATAGTGGCCGTTGGTGTAGCCGTTGGAGCCGTTGACCTCCGAGTTGTCGTCCATGGTGTCTGGTGCCACGCGAGAGACTAAGACTTACTTACCGCTAAAGAACTGGCAAGCGTCCGTTGAGATGAGAACGAGTAGCCCCAAAGCAGACGGGAACCACGGATGATATCCACCTCCTATAACGGGAGTGCTGCGGGTGTCTCTCGGCCCCGGACTCTCGTCAAGATAGCCAATCACACGGGAATTATGTTGAGAGATGATATTATAAACCGTCGCCAAGGGAACTCCATTCCCACGTTTCATTCACATGCCTTTTGGAAAGTGACTCTTAATCTTCGAGAAGTCACCGGTTCGCGGATTTCCCGAATGCGGCAGGCTGTGCTCGGCGTCAGCACGAGGGGTTCTCACAGCCATCCCACGTACAGTCAGCACACTGATAGTGGTGTTGAGGCACGGTAACTCGTGTGCTATGAGAATAGCCTACACTACGCCCCGTTTCTGTCAGCTTTCGAATTGGCTCTTCCCATTCGTTCAAACATTTGTTTGTGGCTTACGGTCATGTTTCCTCGACGTTCTCGGTGAAACCGATCTTACATTTGGCATGTGATTCAAACCCTTCAGACACAGCGGGTTCTTGCTGTGTAGCAGTCGAGAAGAAGAACAAATTCTCGAAGAACCGAGACAGGATGTCCAGAAAGCCGCAAAGTGAAGTTTTTCGTGCCGGAAGCACTTCTAGACTGACGATGTTTTGAACATGTCCCAACTTTAAACATCATGCGGCGCGGGGAAAGGGCCCTAGGCCTATGATACTACCGGCATGCTGCCTGTGTTCTGAGTACTTTGGGGTGTTTGAATAATCTCCACTCTCTCAGTGCCGCGTTCCGTAGGCGACCAGAGAATACTTGGTGTCTACATTTTCTTCCCCGAATGGCCAGTCGGATGCCTCGCGTTTCCCGAGGGCTTCAGCCGTTGACTCGTTATAGCTTTTCCCGGTTCGGAGGGAAAACATTCCCTCTCGCTGAAATGGGTCAAAAGCAGCACACGCAATCCTTACTGACTGATAAGGCATCGGCCCTCCAATGTTGTCTCACCGCCGCGGGGGCTCCCTGATTAGCGACCAGGGCGCACTTCATATCTGCGGCTGCAAGACGACAGGTTTCCGTGCGGGAACACTAGTTGACGGGCCGCAAGCGGATCGAGGGACAGCATTTTTGAAGGCCTGGCAGTTGAGAAATTTTGAGCTGAACGTTCAGTGGTCTGTAGAATGTGGAAAACATCCCTTGATTGAATCGCCTCTGGTGCCGCGACATTCCGAGACACCACACGCAATATTTGACAGCTTATGTGATTGGAGGCCTGAACTAGTTTTCAGCTCATTTTCACTAGTCTGGGGCGGTGTCTTGATGCAAACCCTGGAATGCCACTTCTCAGCCATCCCGCCCTTGCTGAGGTAAGATACTTTGGAGATGCAGAAAGGAGCACCCCGACTATTCACACGAGCCGTGGTGGGCAGAAAATTACAACACCGCAGAAACCCTATCTCTGACGCCACTGTCAGATTGGGGGCCAGCGTGAAAGTTTCATCGAGGAATAGCCCACATCGAGGGGCTTTCAAGAGCTTCAGCACGTGAAAACAGCCACCACAGCATGTGAGTGAGAGACAACAAGGTCTTGATCTGCATTCCAAGACCGCGTCTACTCCCTTCTGCATGCTTACCACATTACGGCAAGATTCCAGCCAGCAGCAAAGCCAATGATGAGAAGACATTCATGAGAAAATGATATAAGAAAATAAGTTGCCTCACAATTCTTATCATAAGACTTGGCTTTGAAGTTCTTTTCCTGTCAGCTGAGCCGACCCAGACAGACCTTCTTCGAGAATGGCCAAAGTCAATGTTTATCATTCCCTCCCGAAGGACCTGAGCAACCAGAAGGTTGTCGCCGAGTCCATTCGGCCGGTCACCACCGCCGACCTCCGATCGCTCCTCCGCAAAGAGGGCCCCCATCGCCCCATCAAGGACAGGATCGCCAAGCTCGAACTCCGGAAGCCTGACTACTACACAGGGGCACCATGGAAGCTCATTCGCGACGATGCGATCTTGTTCGTGAGAAATATCCCTTACCTACTTGGCATCGTCCTCCCTCTGTTCGAGAAGCCGCCTACGCGGTCATTCGACATTGAGCGTACCGATGATCAGGGCTTCAGCATCAATCGTCTTAGGCGCCAATTCGAGGCTTTCGCGCAACGATACTTCCATTCTGGCCCCCTCGATGAGCTCTACCCGTCCTTCGCCAACATCTATGACATGACCTTCCACCTAATCCTCATCATCGCCCAGTCCACCTTTCTTCTCTCCCTCCCTTTCTTATCCTTCTTCTCTTTCAATCTTGTCGTCGCGTACATTATTGGCTTCGTCACCTTGAACTACTTTGTGTGCTACGCGCTGAATGGCTACATGCCTGATGGTTACATTCAATCCACCGACTTTCCGGAAGCCAGTCTTTGGGACGAGGAGCATAACAAAGAGCAATGGATCTTCCTTAACGGAGTCGCAGTCGGGTTAGTGTTCCTGTGTTCTGCTTCGAAGATGCTTGAAGCTAATGATTGCACAGACAACACTGGCTGCGAAGCAACATCGACCGGATCTCCTTGACCTTCCACCGCAGAGTCATCGGTGTCCACAACAAAACGTAGGATGGAATGTATACCCCACATTCCCACTCACTCTGACATTGGCTACAGTGCTGGCATTATCTTCGATGTCATTCAATGCCTTCTCGAGCGTTGCTTATACTTCGGCACCTCCGACACTAGAGCCTGCTTCGCCTTGATCTCGGAAGCTCTTATGCATCCCGAAAAGGAGAAGGTGGTGCTGATTCTCCACTCCCAGGGCGGGCTCGAAGGCAGTATCATCTTGGACTGGCTCATCAACCAACATCCCCGAGACATCCTTCAAAAGCTGGAGATCTATACCTTCGGTAATGCTGCAAACCACTTCAACAACCCGCGTGTCTTCAAGACCGACCACGGCGAGCACGACGGTCGCAACCGCGCCATCAGACACATCGAGCACTATGCCAACTCATTTGACTTTGTGTCGCGATGGGGCGTTATGCACTTCAAGAAGAAGACCGCCGACCAGCAAGACCGCTCCGTCATCTACAACCTAAACGCGGCTGTCCTGTCCGGCCGCACCGAACCCAAGAAGCACCTCAGCAAGAGGCAGATCAAGGAGAACAACAAACTCGAGAAGGCGTGGAACTCGTACAGTGGAGCCCTGTTCGAGCGCATCGGTTCTGGTCACCAGTTGAACCAGCACTACCTTGATAATATGTTCCCACTCGACAAGGGTCTCACGAAGGTCCAGCAGAATGGCGACGGCTCCCCTCTTCCAAACACGTTCATGGATGCCGAGGTCAATGTGTACAACGATCCTAAGCAGATCAACAGGCTAAGAAACCTGCAAAATGGATTCTACGGCCATGAGCACAATGGTGAACACCATGGTATCAATGGAGATGTCACTATCAAGAAGGTGTATCAGCTGAGTCGTCTTTGGAAGTACGTCAATGGCAATAGTCCCAAAGAAGAAGAGTATGCAGGAGAGTATTGAACTGGTCGTGGTTAATTGTATAAGTGCTTTCGCCACTTCATTGCCCAAAGTCATTGGATACCTGCAATACAAAAGCCATCATTGTCGCGTTTGCGACGTGCCTTTTTAGTAGAGTCATTGTGAGCTTCGGTGCTTAGTCCTTTATTTGCTCTAACACTCCACCACGAGTCCTTCCCCTGATATAAAAGCCTCCATGCCCTGAATGCTGCTTGCGTCAACAGCCTTTGACAGAGAAACACAAGTAATAGGATGGGATGACGTTTAATCCGAACATTTGAAATTCAAGGATGGCAGCCATTATATCCATCACGTGGTGTCGCTAAATGCCTGCTTCTTCGCTGCAAGGAGACCCGAAAGCTGAAGTGTGGTACCGTTTCATTCTTTTCTGAAACGAATATCTCAAATAATGGTATTCTCTTCTTCTTCCTCTCATTCTGACATGCTCTTCTAGATTCCCACCTATCTACCACGAAGTGATGACTGCAGTGGCGTTAGATATGGCGCCGTTTAGCTGCGACGTCTGAGTCAGAGCAGTGCGTCCTGCAGCCATCCTTATCACGATTGGATTGAGCTTTGCATCGAAGGTTCTGACTCGTGTCCGCCGACATTAGAACTGGCTGTCAAAATAATCTCAACGACCGAAGCAGTGCGTCGTAGAGTCCTCAAAATCAGATCTCCACCCTAAGAGTAGAAACCCCTGAAAGTAGGCTTACGGACCTGCCGCGGGACATGCCTCAAGACAATGGACATCTTGTACCCCAAAATTAAGCATCGCACAGCTGCAGTGCTCATGTGACACGAGTGAGTTTCAATTATCAGCGTCTACAAGATGCCGTCTTTGGCTCTCCGCAACGGCCCTTCTCACAAGCAGACCTGAATGATGAAACACAAACAGGGTCCATGATGTTGGGTTCGGCAATTGAGCAACGGCAGAATCAAGTTCTTTTTAGGAACCTGGTCGCATTACCTGTTTACTTATGTATTCCACAGATCATCATTTATCACGAAGAACTCACAGTTACGATAGTTGTATTTCGACATCAACCATCTGAGCTCGTGACTCCGGCACCGGTTTGAGCTTGGAGGTGGAGAGTTCCCAAGCGGTCCGCTAGTGTGGGTCTCTTCATCGGCAACCGGCCGAGATTTCCGGTCCTCTCTCCGAAAATGGTGATAGCATATACTCAATTCCGGACACGTCGATCCAATTCCACCCAAGGAGTATCGTTTCAGTTCCACATTTTCCAGATGTCTTTCGGCAAGATTCCGGAAAATCCCTCGTTCATCCTCGGCAGTATCCTGAGAGCTATGACATTGGATTTCATGCTTAGGTACTTGGTTGTTGGAGGTACATGCTGGCGGATCATGCTGGAGAGTTCGCTGCTGCGATTGGTCATCTGGTAAAAGCTTGTTCGTCTAGATTTGTGGCCCAGTGAATCCTTCGCTCTAATGGGAGATGGATACCATGTTGTTGCCGATAAGGCCATCGCCGGGAAGTCGACAAATCTTCTAAGTTAGGCAACGTCGCGATTGTTCTATTTCTAAAGGTCCACGGCTCGGTGGGATTGCCCACCTTGAATAGGAGAAGCGCGCTTCTAAGCTCGTTGAAAGCAAAATAGCCAGCTTTCACTGCCAACGAGATAAAAGCGCGCGGATAAAGCGCGCAAAACAATCGCACCCTGATATGGGTTCCCCTGGGCGTAGCCGTCTCAGAATAGCGAAACTGTCCACAGACGCCGCTGTGCCGCACAAAAACAAGGAATTTCATTTTTGAAGGTGGAATTTCTGCAACTCCTTTCCAGATTTGTTCTTGTTGGCTGGGTCGCTGCGCCCGGCCGCAGCATCTAAGAATCAGGCTGTGGTATCTTGCCTGCCAATACTGTCAACAGAACCTTCAGCGGCAAGCGGAGACTGAGAGGCACAGCGGAAGCCCTCTTCTGACTGGAGACCGATGCCCTGAAACCGGGGTGGCACGGCCAGCAGGTGAACCACCTAATCAAATGACCCCCGAGGCCGATCTGGCCATCGCCCACGGGAAAGTTTACCTGCCTCGGACTTCGTCTTCGCAACATACCCATAACCATAACCTTCGATACCTTAATTCGTGGGGATGAACAACGACTGAGCTTTCCGCTCGGAATGGCTTGCGGTGCTTGTGCGCTTTCCCCGGAGTCTTTCAAAAGCCCACACAGGTTGCCCCTGAGCGGATGGCGGAAATTGTCGGACAATCGGCACAGCTGATATTAGGCACTAGGGTGTCATTCTTGGCGTCTAGCTCCTGACCAGTCAACCGCCACCCTTCCCACTGAGTCTCCATAGCCAGCGGAAACGCCAAGCAGTTTGACGCGGCGGACCTTTCCGTATCTGTCGTCCAACCCACCTGGGCTCTGGGGCAATGCACTGGCCGCATTCATGACGTTGCTTTTTCCTTTCCGTATGACCAGGCTCCCGATGATATCGAGGGCGAGCCTCCAGAAACATACGACACTGAGAAATCAACAGTCAAACTCCCGACAGATGATCTTGAATAACTGACAGAAGACTGCCAGCCACTCCGTTTAACAATAAGTCTCCCAACAGGTACATAAGAAGTGAGACTTCAATCTGGTAAGGATGCTGTGTGTCCTGGGCGTTTCAGATCCATGTAACTGCACCAACACCTCGACAAGCAACGGCAAGCCGAACTGGAGGTTTGCGGTGCTGTTGGCTCGGTCAACCTCCCCCTTGACCCTCGTCAGTTCTCTTGCAGGCCGCAATCTGTTGACCTTGTTCTTTTTGGCACTAGGGAACATAAAGACCGCACAGCTGGTTCCAGGATGGCACGGCCTCCACCCTCCACTGGGGCCTCGATCGCGTGATGCACACACACCGCGGCCGTTATCACGTTCCTTGCGATGCCGACCATATCTCAATCAAACCATCAGTGATTAATCCCAGGTCCAGACTTAATTTTACATGAAATCCAGATAAAGCGAATCCACATTTGGCATGTATTTCCGCGAGCTCAAGTCGCAGCCTGTCGCCAAGTCATGCAAGTAAGAGAGCGGCTGAGAAGAAGCAGGCAAGAATCCAAGAGCTAACTGAAAATGCACCGAGATCAACGGGGGTGATCGGACCATCCATCTGTCTAACATCGTTGGGCATTTTTGCGCAACTGCCCTGTTCGTCAGCGGCTGCTCCCTTTAGCACGCAATACCGAAAAGATCAAGCAGGCACCAGGCTCTCCCCTGCTGGTAATGGCAAAGGGGCCCGGCCAGGCTGAGAAAATCTTTGCCCAGAGATTTCGGGTTCCTTCTTCTCTTACTCCATCGTCAGCCGAGACATAGTAGTCGTACTGTGTCTAGCAATATTGTCTCAGCCATGACACTCATGTGCGACTACCCGAATAGGAAGCAGAAAGTCAACTTCTGATTGTCTAATAGACTAATAAGTTACACTCATGGCATTGAATTTAGATTAAGCCATGTTCTCTAGGAGAAAGAGACAGTCATCTCGAACCGCCAGCGTGTATGATACCATCAAACTCGTAACGCGTCTTTCAAAACAATCTCAAACGCCACCTCCTTCGCGTGATAAGGCTGACCGCCCCTCAGCGAATGATGCCCCAACGCCCTACACCACCACAGTTTTGCCCATCTCAGCGATAGCGCCCGTCCTGCACCTCGGAGCCCATGAGTTCGCGTGGGTTTCCGTCCCAACCCTCATTTGCTCTTGCTGGCATCTCGTGCATCTCATTTCGCCCGGCCGGGCTTGGGGTTGTGTAAGTTGAGCTCTTGGCGTATCCGTCGTGTTCCGCGTAATGAGGGTACGCGGTGGCAGCGGGCAGTTCAGATGCATGGCTGTTCTTGGTGCGCCTTCTTCTGCAAATAAGCCAAGTTGCTAAGCCTGCAATAATCGCAGCCAACGGAATTCCAACTCCGAGTCCGACTTTGAGTGCAAGAGCTTCGGAGCCAGAACCGGACCCATCCGCAGCGGCGGAGGATTCTGAAGCTGAGCTGGTGGAAGCTGGATCTGGGGTAGGGGCAGTGGTTGCAAAGGCCGTTGCGGAAGAAGTTGCAGTCGTTGCAGCTGTTGAGGTTGTTTCCGTGGAACTCGCGATGCTCGTCGAGCTCGTCGAGCTTGGGGCGGAAGACAAAATGCCGTTGTCATCGAGGTAAACCTTTCCTATCGAGGAGTCGCAGCATGAGTCGCTTCCCAGCCGGCAACAGTAGGTGTTGGTATCACAGATTTCCACTCTGGGAAAAACGTATTCTGCGAAACCTGTGTTGGAAGTTGTCTCGTCTGGTAGTAAGATTTGCTGTTAGCGATCTGCGGCGACGATTGCGAGACGTGGGGATGGCAGCCCACTTACTGAAAACGCAAATTTGTGCGCAATCGCTCCTATCCCATGGGCTTGAGAGGCAGGTTCCTCGGACCAAGATATTATCGCGAGTGTCGGGACTCTTGCAGAGTCGATTCGGCATACATGTGTCCTTCTCTCCACAACAAGAATCAGATCCCGGACACACTTTCTGGTCGGGCCATGCCAGCCCACTATAGCTGTAACATGTGGTGCATTCGGAAAAGGCTGTGAGGAGAACCAGCAGGCAAAAGGAAATCAAGATTAAACCAGTTGATCTTGACATGATGATAGAGAGAGGCTAGAGCTCCAGGACACAGGCGTGTAGCATTGAACTGATCTCGGGTAAGGCAAAGAGAGTGTATGTGCAACTTGGATGGACGGGAAAGACGGGAAAAGAGTGGGAGACACGAGCAAGAAGAATAAGACTGCGGAACCTGGGCAGTCGGTGTCCAACCAAAGCCCCTCCGCTGCTTTCACCCACTACCTAGCAGGCTTGGCAAATCGTCTGCCTGGTGGGCGATTGCCAAGGTAAAGAATCATTCTCGTCGTGGTTGGGAGCAGCATTCCGCCCCTCGAGTCTGTTCTGTGCAACGTGCTGATTGCACACCATCCCAAGCACGCCAAGTCGCGAGGTGCATGTAGCCGCCGTGCAGCCCTGTCGAATCCCTGTCCGGCGCAACGCTGTGTTGGTGCAAGGAGCATGGCAGAAAAAAGACGGCGGCGGGGTCGGGCACGACCCGGGCCTCAGCGACTAAAGAGCCTCAATGGAGTCTAAATGTGATGAGATAAAATAGGAACATCATGGAGGAAGACAGGCTCTTGCGACTGTTGGCACCTGAGATGCGATTGCAGGGGTTACAGCTACGTGTTTTTGTTGTGTACGCTTCTTGACGCCACGCATTGAAAAGCGCTCTACTTGACAAGCGTTGCCTCTTCTTGGCTACAGTAAGTCACTTTTTGCCATCGAATGATGGACTCTGGTTGGCCGCCCAGTTCGTTGGTTCTGGTGACCCCTTATTCGACATTCTCCTTTGACGGACCCCCCACCACCCTTGCACAATTACGTTGACCTGTGTACGTAACCAAGCTGCCGGGGTCGTGGCACAAAATTACTAGAGTGAAGTAGTACTGGGGCCCCCCATTTTCTGGATTCGATTCGATTGTTCTCACGCGACACACTCATCACCAGAATTCGCAATCGCGCCTTCGCGATTCCTGCTTCAGCATGGTCGTCGTCGCCATGCCATCCTCACGGATGACAACCGCAGTTCTTTCAGTATGTCTCTTATTGATGTTTTTCTACTCATTATCCATTTTTGCTCCTTCATATCATCCGACATCGCCGACACCGCCTCCGCCATCTCATCCTCAGCATGGTGATAAGCCCAAGGAGGACCTGCCCTCGGCATGGCAGAAAGAGGCCGATTCCATCATTATACAGGCGAGGGCACTCATCGAAGACCCTATCCAACCCCCTTACAAGGACAAGTTCTATGACCTCGGCCAGCGGGTCATAGCTGCTCGAGAGTGGGTGAAATTCATCGACAACGCTCCCAAGTCCGCAAACACCCAAGTCCTTCTCGAAACGGTAGAAAGCGCGATTGGATCATGCTTCCCCTTCATTCAGAACTCGCCGAAGCGCCCTGATAGCAAGACGCCCTTTTCAGACTTGCGCTCGTCGATCGTCCCGGGGTCACGTGGGTTCGTGATTCCGACAGGGAAGGGAACGATGAGATATGCGACCCACCTCATCGGCGCACTTCAGGAGATCCTACACAGCAACATGACGATTCAAATCGTCTATGCCGGCGACGAGGACTTCCCCCCAGAGGACCGTGAGAAGTTGCATTCCCGATTCAGTGAAGTTCAGTTCCTCGACATTTTCAGCGTTATCGACGACACGACTCTGCAGCTCGCCAAGGGCGGTTGGGCTATCAAGGCCTTCGCAGCACTCTATGCACCGTTTGAAGAGGTGCTCCTCTCAGACGCCGATTCTGTCTTCGTACAAGTTCCCGAGAAATTATTCTCAGATCCATCCTACGAGACGACCGGCGCCCTCCTCTTTCATGATCGCTTGATCTGGCAGCATGCCTTCGCCGAACGTCATGAGTGGTGGAAGTCCCAAATTCATGAGCCCAGTGCTGCGCTCAACAAATCGCTTGTCTGGACTGAGGATTATGCTGAGGAGGGAGACTCAGGAGTTGTAGTTATCGACAAGTCACGTCTGGATGTGCTGATGGGCCTGCTTCACGTAGCATGGCAGAACACCTATGAGGTGCGAGAGGAGGTCACCTACAAGTTGACCTATGGCGACAAGGAAACTTGGTGGTTTGGTTGGGAGCTCAGCGGATCGAGCTACGCATTTGAGAAGCACTATGGCGCCATGATCGGCTGGTTCAAGGAGAAGGTGGACGACGCTGCACAAAGGATTTGCAGTTTTGTTATTGGTCATGTGGATGTCAGGGACGATCTCATTTGGTACAACGGAGGCCTATTGAAGAACAAGAAGGTTGATCCCAAGGAATTCGGTCTTCCGACGCATACTTTGGTTGATGGGAAATGGGAAAAGGGCGCAGACCGAACTCAGATGAGCTGCATGGTCGGGGAGAATGTGAAGACTTTGACCAGGGACATGACATGGGTGTTGAATAGTTCCATCACTTTGGCGCAAGAGTTGGACAAGGAGTTTGGCTTTGTTTAGATATGGAATAGCATTTTCGGTGGCCGAGGACGAGCCATTCTTTTGTAACATACCCCAAAATCAATTTTTCTATATTCTTCCATCGTCTTGTCTCATCACTCTTTTCAGATCTCAAGGCATTAATCATCAGCTGGTACGTGGAATTGGTAAGAGATCATGAGCTTTAGAGACCACAATCAAAAGTGAGCCCATGCGCATAGTCAAGATTGTCTATGCAATAGTTAGTCGTCAAACAGCGGCGGTCCCTATGAAGCAAATCTGTTTGTCTTCTGTGCTTAGGCTGAAGTCCCTCGATATGTTACAAATTATGATCGTGTGAAAAACTATGAAATGCTTTAACTTTCGAAAAGTTACAACGCTACTTAATCTCAATCTTCTCTGTGGCTATCGACATGATGCTGTCCAAAGCCGCTTGCAGATTGCTAGTCACCTCATCTGTTTGTCCTCCAGTCTTCAAGATCTCTTGAATCTTTTCCGTCCAACGACACCATCTACTCAGGCCCCACTTCTCCGTGTTCGCTTCCTTCATATCCTCGTAGATGAGCTTTCCGGCATGGATGAACCAATTTGAAGCCACTAGTAGTCTGCATTCACCGAGCTTCCCAGAAGGCAGCGGATCTTCGAGTGCGAGCTCAATATCGACGCTCGGATATTTCAGGTGACTGTCCCACGGCTTGTATGCTTTGGAGCCATGGTAACGAGCCAAAAACGAGGAGAAGTTCACCCATTCATCGCAAGTGAGAATGAAATCTTTCTTTGCCTCGGGGTCCTTCGGCTCAGGCCGGTCGGATGCTTGTTCATAATAAGTAAGTTATCATGAGTGAAGTGGTCTCTGGACTTACCAAATTTTGCATTCCAGTTCTCGTCACTCATTGAGACAAAAACTGAATCGTTGTGGTACGCATGGTACTCTCCCTAGAAGAATAGTGAGCAGAAGCTTCGTGGGAATAAGGAGTCGAATAGAGTATGACGTACGCCCCAGCTTTGGTATGTCACCTTGGGCAGATTCTGTAAGTCGACCAGAAGCCTCACCAGGCAGTCTTGTCGAGGGTCGTCATAGCGCAACAGCCACGACTGGCAGAAAATCGCATCATAAACGCCACCAAGATACATGGGCCAGCCTTTATCCGCCATCATGTAAGGCTTGTTAAGAGGATCCTTGCTTGAAGGGAGAAACTTTGCCCAGTAATCGGCCCCTATGCGTAGTGAGGCTTCAAGAGTGGACAAGTATCCGCGTTCAGGGAAAGAAAGGAGCATTTTGAGAAGAATTGCAGCGATCTCGGTATCCTGTTCGTCTCCCCAGCTCTCCTGGGCAGCGATTTGCTCTTCGAGCTCAGCTCTCCAAGGTTCGACGGGAGACGCTGCCTGGGGTTCTGCGTTGCTGCTGACTGCCATGTTGTTGCTGGGTAAGGACGTAATGAATTGATCTGATGCTTGAACAAGTGTTTAATTGATGAATAGCCGAAGACTTGCGCAATGGGGGGTGGCCGACGATTAAAAGACGAGGCGACTGGCAGTTTGGGGCAGCTAGACAATGAGCAGAAACCAAGTTTCCTTGTTGGTGAGGTCTCCTCACTTGGCTAGTGTGGTCGCAAATAATAAGCGCCGACCGTTGGTTGCACTGCCCCCTCAGCGAGCGCATCGCCGGACCAATGTGACGGTACCGCGGAGCTAGTTCCTTACCCGCTGCGCAAGACAGGGCCCGAAACCTGCCGGGTCACCGAGTACACCGGCCCAACCAACACACGATGAAGACTGGCGAATCTTCATTGGTTCGTCAGCGAAATTCCTGTCCAGGTTATCTATCAAGCAGGGATTGATTTTCCCGGTTCGCAGTCCATCAGTCGTTCGATGTGTGAAGAAGGCTCTTTTCTCGGCCAAACCAACAGGTAGTTGCTATTTATGACAGACGACGCGGCTACTGGAAACCAGCAGTTGAAAGACCTACAAGGTGAACTGTATCTACTTAAAGAGGGCTCAAAATTTGTCGGTCATTGCCTTTCGCCGAATATTCAGACTCCATGCATTCGCCTCCTGGAGAAGTGAGCCTCTCTGTTTGTCTTTGACCGAGTTGAAATATTGCACTGGCCTCAAAGCCTGACTTTCCGTGATATTTTCCTTCCTTTGTTCTGTAAAGAAAGATCTTCCATCACCACATATCGAAAAGATGGGCAACAAGAACTCTACACCGCAGAGACGCAACACCGACAACACCGAGCAGCAGCTTGTAAGTCCGCCGCCTAATAGCCATCCATGTCAAATGCACTCACTTGATGCCTGCAGTCTGTGGTGAGCAGACATGGCAAGCAGACATGGCAAGTAACGCACATGTCAGACGTTCATTGGCTGACTTATCGATTCTAAACAGCAATACCATACACCTCACGGCCCCGTTTCCGCAGCAGACGTGTCGAAACATCTGGAGACTGTGCCTCCACCTCACACCTGCACTCGATCTAACTACCCTCATCCTTACCGAGGCAGGGAGGGCCGTGGGGTCAATGAGACCAAGACCTTTGACGACTATGTCACTGGGCCAGGACGATCTCACGGGCCCACCGGCGTGATGCACGAGTATCCCATCCCGACATCTGGAGATCAGTTCAATTTCCAGTACGACCGCCCCTGTCAGAGAGCAAGACAGGCGCAGCGACCAATCCATCCTAACGAACGAGCGAACGTTATGGGACCCATCAACGGCCGACCGGCGAATACCCCCGGGCAGACCCGTGCTGCTGTTCGTGTGGCTCAAGTAAACGGCAAAGAGCAATCAACTGTTGTTGGTGTGATGGTTCATCCAGAAGGAAACCTGCAGAGACTTGAGCGAGCACCTCTCGAGCCACTAAGTCGTGAGGGTCGGCAAGAGATGACCAGGCATGCTGATGAACGCGGGCGCACCCGAACGTACCCACCCCGTGGAATAGACGCAGGTTTCGTTGGGGATGTCGAGACAAGATTTGCCAAGGAACGTCCGCCCGCTCATCCACAGATGAGGTTGGGTTGAGGACGACTTCTGTCAAATGGAAGACAGTATTACTCTGGTTTGCTTTAGCTAGTTGTTACTCTTAATGAAGGCTCAGACTCCGGGCTTCGATGGTAATTGATGATAAAAGTACCTTGGAAAAAGGACCTACAAATCAATTTTCTATAATGGAAGTACTCGCAACTGGGGTATAACTCTCAACTCGGCCTGTCTCTTACTAGGACCTTGCCAACCTTGATTTCTTCAATGCTCGGTTCGTGATCTGGAGGCAACCTTTGATTCCAAGCATCGTCCCAATCCTTCTGAACTTCCCTTATTGGGCCGGCTTGCATAGGAAATGCTTCAAGATCGTACTGTTGTTTGATCCCTTGTGCCTGCTGTAACCAGCCCTCACGACGACCATCAATCGACGTTGCTCTCGGATCGTAGCCCCAGATGTCATCCGAATTAGTTCTAGACAGAGTTGAAGGATACGTCAAGGTGTCTCGTTTACTATTCAACGATCTTCCCCTCGACGACAGGCTATTTGCTGTTCGCGGCGTTCCGAACGACCAATAGAGTAGGGTCCGTCCTCGTTTTCGAGTACCCTTGCGGCCCGTCCGTGGCCGGTTCGGTGAGAATTCGCGAATATCGAGCTTCCTTTGGATCAACAAGTTGATTGTTGGCAAACAAGCACAAATAAGTCCGATTGCTAGCTCCAGCGCTCTATCCGTAGTCAGCAATCTACTCACGCTTTATGCACCTGAACACAAGACCTACGTGGTGATGTCTAGCAGAACGAAACCCTCCGTTCTATCTGAAGGTTCAAGGAATAGAATGGACTTGTAAAGACGGAAGATGGACACTCCAGTGGCAATGCCGCCAGCACTGAGCAGAGCCACCACCTTAACCTTTGTCCAAAATGGCAGTCGAAGGGAGAATGTCATGGCGAGAGGAAGCAGCAAGATGATAATGTCGGTAAAGACGCCCAAGCACATGTCGGATATAAACACCTTCCGCTGGTTGAGGCAGTTTGCTGGTTTGACATCGGAATCCCACGTGGCAGGGACTGGTATGCAAACTAATACCTTCAGCATCATTATCGGTATATAGCAGAACAAAAGTACGTATATAAAGGTGAAAACACCTCTAGATACCCTTTCGTAAACTGCGAATACTCGCGCTTCTAGAAGAAGAAGCGTGGCCTTCGTCAGGTAGGCTGCTGGGCAGTAGAGAATGGAGCCGATATAGAGCCACTGGCAATGCTTAGCCTCGAAGGGTATCGGGCGGGTTGATTCCAAAGAGGTATGACCTACTCGCAGGACCTCCTTGTATGCTTCTTTCGTTACTTCCCATTCGTGGTAGCCTTCTCCGTAGTGCGCCACTTTCGCATTCCATGAGCAGGTAATCACGCACAAGGCACGAAAGGCGCCACTTACTGACAAGCACAGTGCTGATATAGCACATCCACAGGCCCTGGAGACAATGTTATGAGAAGTGTTTCCCTTCGAGATGAGAGAGGAATCGTACATAAGCTGCTAAGCACGTCCCTGCGGAAGCGTTAGTGTCAATCATTTGATTTCAATTCTGGAGAGGTGCTCACAATCTTCCGTGTACCAATGAGTGTTGAGCGCCGTCTTGGAATAGCTTCGCAGACCGAACATGATTGTCGTCAATCCCGCCATCACGGCCAGACCGACCACAAGATTCGTCCTCCCAAGATCCTCCGGCTGCGCGAAATTCGGTACCCGCCCCGGCGGAGGCGGAAATGCTCCCACCGGGCCAGCTTCTTGCGCCATGATGTCGCCCACCCGAGTTCAGCTGTTCATTAAAAGTCCTGATGGTCATTGAAGAAAGTACCAAGACAAGTGGAGTAAAGCGGGTTGCGTGGGGGGATGGGCAGACAGAGTACTATACTCTTGCCTGGGCAGAATAAGGTTCGAACGGATCGATCCCGGTGGCTCTCGGGCTTGCGCCGTAAGAGCCTTATTGCACGGAGGAACCTGGAGCACCCCGAACTATCAAACTTTTGGGGAAGATGCGAAGCAAATGTTTGTGGTCATACTACGCGACTCATGGATTGGAATGCGCAAATGATCACGTTGTTTACGCCCTGAGCTTGTTTCGCCAAGGTCAGCTCCGTCTAGCCATCCTGGGCGAGCAACATCGGTCAAAGCTTGTATTTGGTTTGGAGGATTGAAACTTAGGTCAACCTGACTTGGAGGTGGGGAAACCGAGGGTCTTGCACGTGTCGAGGAGTCCGTTTCACGCAACTTAAGACGGCAGATTCCCTGTACAGACGAAATCGGATGAAGTTTGCTAGAAGCACACAGTGAGGAAAGTTAGTCCGTCGTCAATCAGCGTGCATTGAATTTGCCCCGAGATTAGCGAACTACTCGGTCAAATTATGACACTTGACCTGCTCGAACAAATCAAATGTTCCACGACGTACAAAGAAACGTTGAAAATCACCCTGATGAGGAAATTAGAAAGGATTCGAAGACAGATCACAGCTGCCGCCGTGTTGGTATTACTGGCGGGATCAGTTATCTCTGTTCCAATCGCCCCTTTCACATCACATGGCAACAACGCTCCACCGAACTTCAGTAAGGACACGAGCTAGGAGCATCCCCTCGTTACTCGTGAATATAGTGCTGTAACTCGCGAATTCTGGGCCATTCAACGAATTCAGTTCAGCAAGGCTGCACATCACGCCACAAAGCTTCTAGAAGCAAACACTTGCCTCGGCCCGTTCCATTATAAAACGTTGCAAATCTTGGATTCGCCGCGAAAGCTATGAAAGCATCCACCTGGGTCTGAACGCTTCTATTCACTTACGTTAGACAACAACTGCCGGGCTTAGCCTCCCTGCTTATTCCGGCACCGTGTTTCAGCCGTCTTTCCTATTTGCCGCCTTTTGGGAATCTTCAAATTGTACCGAATCTTGCCTACATACAGTCATGGTATTTTCAAACTTGACATTTGTTTCTTGTCTGCCTATATAAACACTGTTTATAGATCTGGTGTTCTTATGAACTGTCCCATGGGTTTGGTCTTTCCAATGACTGGCAGTTGTGAGGTGTCCATGCCAATCTAACGGGGGCTCCTGATCCCTGGAAAGTAGACTCGTCCATTCCATGTTGAGAGTCCCATGATCGGAACTAAAAACATTGATTCTTGATACTGAACGGCGTGTGATCTGCTTTGGTCGTGTGGTCAACACATTGAAAACAACTCCCCAATACAGCCCGTGTAACTGTTCGGTACCTCAAGGTAAGTAGATGAGGACCGTGGTGGGGACTGTTCCTAAGACCAGCCCGTGTCCAATGATAGTCCAAGTTGAGCACCACTGAGCCAATCGGATCATAGCATAGCCTAAAGTGGGACTAGTTTCTGGAGTACGCCAAGGACGATTCGGGCCCTCGGGCAAGAGGAATCCGAACGATGTTGGTGAGGGGAAACGGATATTTACAAGCCGCAACTTCAGGAGTCCGACGCATGCTTGTTTGGTATAACTCGCACGAATCAATTCCGTCAGAGAGGAGAACAGGCCATTCGCACAAGAACCTAGGCGTCGGACTTCATAACGTTGCCAACTCGGAAAACCCGTGCAGGGCACCCTCCTCTGACCATCTTATTTCAACGTAATTGCTGCTGGGAAACTACCACTAGCATGGACAGACCGTAAGTTTGGATTGAGTACAATTTAATTCGTCTAATTGTTTGATTTAGCCAATACGTATTAGTTACAGGTGCAACGGGCTTTATTGGAGCCCATGTTGTCGACGAACTACTCCGACGGGGCGTTCGAGTGCGAGGCGCTACTCGGACTTTGGCCAAGGGTGAAAAAATGATCAAGTCACGGCAGCAATATGCGGATAAACTAGATTTCATCGAGATCGGGGACTTCGAGAACACGAACGTGTTTGATGGGAAGATAGAGGGTATTGATGGTATCATTCACGTTGCCAGTGTGAGTATATTTGTTCCGCAAGCTTATGGTGGATGCTGACAGATATCAACCCATAGCCCTTCACGTACGATGTCAAGGATAACGAGCGAGAACTCATCCTACCAGCAAAGAATGGTGTGCATGCGATCATGTCTGCGGCAGAGGCTCAACCAAACATTAAGCGGATCGTCATTACTTCGTCTTTCGCTGCTGTGCTCAACGCCGATCGCAAGGCACCTCCTTACTTCGATTACACGAGTGATGACTGGAACCCATTAACTGAGGAAAAGGCTTGCACCCCTGGAACAAGCCCAATCATTGCGTACAGAGCAGCAAAGAAGTACGCAGAATTAGTCGGCTGGGACTGGATGCGGGCCCCCGACGAAGGCAAATCTCGGCACTTCGACCTCGTGACACTATGCCCCCCAATGACATTCGGACCGGTCGTACATCCAGTCAGCGGGGTTTCGAAGCTGAACGAGTCAAATGCGATGCTTTGGAAAATTGCAAAGGGTGAAACCCCCCTTCCGGTGGCCAGAGTCCCATTCTGGATTGATGTTCGAGACCTTGCCGTGGCGCATGTTGAGGCGCTCTTACGGCCCGAGGCAGGTGGAAAGCGATACCTCTTGGGAGCCAACGATCGTTTCTCGTACGGTTTGGCTGCGAAAATTATGGCTGACAGCTTTGAATGGGCGAGGGGCACTGTTGCCCAGGAGGAGCAGGCAATCGACACGTCGCACGGTCTGGAGAACAAAATTGCGGCAAAGGAGCTTGGTCTGAACTACCGGACGTTTGATCAGACAGTCATCGATCTCGTGACGCAAGCCAGAAAGATGGATATTGAAGAGACGAAGTCATAAACTTTGTAACCAGGCTTTGCCCAGGTCTCGATAAGATGAATTACCGACTTAGTCGGCCAGATCAACGTCTCATATGGATTCCAGCCACCACCTTTCAGGTCATATCCAGCCGTGTTCCCCGCAGTCACAAACTTGGTTCATGGTCGTCAAGTAATCCGCCTAAATAAAATTTCTGCCAACCAGAACCGTCGTCGGTACTCAACTTCCGCTCTGACCAATCACATAAATGTCGATCTACCAGGCAATGTGTGAAGGAAAGTCAGTGTCGCTGTGAGATATATGATGTCGGCCCTTTCGGTTTGGCGGCAGTGTAGTCCCGTTATTTGCCTCCGAGAGCATCCTCGCCAGGGCGTCTATACGACTGAAGGCGGCATACTAGCGAATGAACGCATCATTGTGGCCCTCAGAATAGAGAAATACCTATCGGAGCTTTGGACCTAGATTCCGATGAAAGGTTCTAACATGCCCTCGAATGAACCCCTAACTTAGACTCTGTGGCTCTATATATAAGACCAAGCTCTTCAGAGACACTTTCGACCGTTTTTCTCATCATCATAGCACTTATTTCTCCTGAATCGAACCCTCGTCATGAAGCTATCGTTCCTCTCTACGGTCGCCCTTGCGGCATTTGTCCATGGTCACTGCATTTTCCAAGTAAGTCATGTGAAGGTATTTACCGATCTTGTTACCGTTACTCATCTTCCGCTTTACAGAAAATATCAGTAAACGGGAAGGAATATGGATCTCTCGCCGGTCTCCGCGCTCCGAACCAGAATAATCCCACGACAGATGTCAACTCTCAGGATATGATCTGCGGTAAAGTAGCCACCTCCTCTCAGGAGGTTATATCGGTCGCTCCCGGAGACAAGATTGGTGCCTGGTGGCAGCATGTCATCGGCGGCGCCCAATTTCCCGGAGACCCGGATAACCCGATCGCCGCATCCCACAAGGGCCCGATCACCGCTTGGCTGGCAAAGGTTCCCAGCGCTTCGTCCACCGGCATCACCGGTCTCAACTGGTTCAAAGTCGCTGAGGATAACCTTGACACCAGCTCCGGAAAATGGGCCGTTGACAAGATGATCAGCAACAATGGCTGGAGCTACTTCAACCTGCCTCAATGTATCGCCCCTGGGGAGTACCTGTTGCGCGTTGAGCTGCTCGCTCTACACTCTGCCCACACCCAGAACGGCGCTCAATTCTACATCTCGTGCGCCAGTATCAAGGTTACGGGATCCGGATCCTTGTCCCCGAGCTCGACTGTCAAGTTCCCGGGTGCATATCAGCAAAGTGACCCGTCTATCTTCATCAACATCTATGGCACTGGCGGTGTCCCCAACAACGGAGGCAAGGCGTACACAGCACCTGGACCGAGACCAGTCACTTGCTGAGACTACACCACAATCAATCGGTAGGGAGCACGAGCTGCGGGTATCTTGGTTGAGGATGGTTTCCATTTCTTAGTCCTAAGCCAGCCCTGCATATATCCCAACTTTACTCAAAGCCTGCACCGAGAGGTAGTTCCTGAATCGAACAACCAGTCATACTTGATGACCTTCCGGCTCTGATGTGCAATTACACAACCCCGATGCTTACACGACCATCTTCGACCATCACTCGTAGATTTATATTAATGCTCATGTCGGCGGTTTTGTTCGTCCCGTTGGTTCTCCCACCCCCCGGCCCGACGTTGATGCTGGAAAAGTTCCCAGAGCCGAGGTTGATATTCGTCACCTCCGTAATTCTATCTCCAATTTCAATGGTGTTCCCATCGCCGATCGTATTGTTCCCGTCACCGATATCGAAGTCGTCGCCTGGGTGTCAGATTAGCGTTGCAATCGAGTAAGAGCATTTGGAAACCTATGAGGTTAGAAATAATTGCCTACCAGTATCTATGTCGTTGCCTATACCCGCAAAGCCTACGCCGTTACCATCGCCCGTTCCACCTGAGCTAACAGAGCCGGAATTGCCGGTCTGGTTCCCGTTGACGCCTTGGCCCACTTGGCGTGCTGATACCAATCGTTCTTCAGGGAACAATGCACCAAAGTTGAACGGGAATGGAAGGGCGAGTGATGATGCTGCCAGGAAGACGAGAAAAATGATCATATTTTGTTCGGCCATTCTGAAGACAGCGTTGGTGACATCAGCGTAACATGCCCACGAGACCTGGACTCTTCCGCAGGTTGAAGGGTCTGCGAGAAGACTGGCAACGTCCTCCGTAGATAATAATGAAAGGAAGGCAGACTGTGAGCCTTTCTGCGTCATTATTGCAGCATGAATTCATGTCTTTTATGTTATTCTTGGCAGGAGCCGATTCTGAAAGCCGTCCAACTACCGAAACGGCCCTTGATTACCGTCAAAAAGAATGATGTATTGCAAGTTCGGGCGCTCTCTTTCCCGACAATTCGTCGAGCCTGCGCTTTACAACGAGGCTGCCAAGCCCCGTCCACGGTAAATTGGGCGCGGCAGATAATCGCCTTCATAGCTCATTTGACCGGCAAAAAAGTGGTGGCCAGTCGAGATCTCCTATTTGGAGCGTCTGATAATCGGGCAGGCCGCTCTTGAATATGAAACGGGGAGGGTGCCATCTGGGAAGACGGCAGATTTCCAGACTCGCAGGACGGTAACAGTGGCATCGAGAGGCCGCCAGCGTCTAGTTTCACCACACAGGGTCGAGATTATCTTTCACGGAACAAACCACCGTCTATGTTAATGATTGGAGTATTGCTCGCAATCTCTGTCGCATTCAAATTCGACTGGATGCATGAGTCTTGGCATTGTTCGATAGATGAGTGATCAGTTCTGGGATGAACAGTGTGCCCAACACCACATTGAAGGAGGATCGGGTCAGAAGGTAAGATAAAGATGAAGAAGAAGAAGAAAGGAAGAGAGGATTGCGATTGCGAACTTCGCCAACTGTCCTTTTCCTGAACGCGCAGGCGAAGCTGTGGGTTAAAGGGGGAATTCCGAATTCCTGGTTTCGAAGGGAGTGCGCGGGCGCCGAACGAAGCATCGACGGTGGGATGACACACGAGTTTCCACTGTATAATGCTCCTGAGGAACAACACTGCCCACCCACCTGAGCATGAATCATCAGGGATGAAATTCAGTCTTTTCAACCCGGCGGTGTAGGTATATGCTGGCCCGGTCGATTGGCAGGTAGGTCCAAAACATGCTCCCACGCATGAAATAGGCGAAGTCCTGCCGTTGAGGGTAGTCTCCTGTCATGGAAGAGAACACGGTGAAGCGCGACCCAGTTGAATGTGCATCAGGGCCCAAAACGATTGACCATCATACTCTTGGCCTGGTGGATCAATGAAATGGCTGCTTGAACTTCAAGCAAGATACTCGACTCGGGACTACCGCAGTAAGAGACAAATGTCTCTCCAGCTTGCACAGCTCAATCACGGTCGCAATGCGATAATTCGATGGGGGCAAGGAATACATCGTAGCCTAGTCACTCCGCCACCATGTCGATTTTGCAGAGATATCTGAAAAGTGTAATAGAGTTATTATCAGCTCAGGAACTCACAGCTTCCGATGGTTCAGAAGCACAAACAAAGCAAACGTCCAGTTTGTTTCCTCAAGATCCAGGCAAAGAGGGCTTGAAGTTCGTATTTGATCACTGGCGTCCAAGCTTCATCCAAGTATTTCGGTGGGCTGTTCGGTCGCGACAGCCACTGAGCTCGTAAAGGGACATGCATGGGCTGTCAAAAACGGCGATCGTGTCAATCTCTATAGTAGGTGAGTTGTGAATGTGGATATCAATGATGGTTCAAAAAAAGAAACCTGCTCAACAGCCCGATTCGTGGAAACTAAGCATAGCGTAAGGCATTAACTGGCATGAAGCTGGCTGGAGAGGAATGCAACCATCAGGGAAGTAGCAGTTCGTAAAAAAAAAAAAAAATCTGAGAGAAGCCCCGGAAACATGGACGCGAGGGGCTTTGTTGTTCCGTCATCCATGTCTGGTTTCTGTTGAGTTGGCATGACAGATCATAGCAACAACAATGCCAGCAGGTCCTTGGACGAGAACCACGATGCAGACCTCGGTGAACACGCGCTTAGTATCCCTCGGAAACACGTTGGGTGGTCATAAAGAAGTGGATGTCATGATTGATGACATGATGAAAATCAACAACGATCGCAAAATTGCCCAATTTGCAGCCTTTGGGGAATAACATGAAGCACCCGTTGGCAAGCCCACCAGCCAATTAAATCTGTCAAGGCATTAGGATGGACCCGTCCACAGGCTAATTATAGACTTAAAGCCTGTGTCATTTATTCGACACAGGGAACCCGCCTCGGCCGGGCATTCGTCCGAGGCCCCATCGAAAGAGCTCCCGTCGGAAGCGTCCCTTCATGCGGCCCTATGGGCGGCCCGGGCGCCACAACATGGGGAGAGGCCGCCCAACTGGTGGGATTTCCGAATTACTTCATGTTTACCGTGAACAGAAGTCCGAGATTCTTGTTTATTGCCGTCGCATATCCGACATGTTTCGATGATTTCTTGCCTGCGGTTACTTAGCTGACTGATTTTTCGCTGGCCGTCAGGCCACGGCTAACAACCACTTCTACGACCCAGACATGAAGACTTTCTCCTTTTCTCCATCGTGACAAGGCTGCAAGTGGACAGGCATTTGGAAGCAACTCCGCATCGATTTTCAGATTCGCATCTTCCATGTTGTTTTACAGGGCTACAGGGCTGGTTTCGATGGCGGTGTGCGTATTTCCGGTACCAAGATCGCTGCGTTTTGAGTCAGGGATAGCGAGCCATGGTTGTTCTGCTGCCCGTGAGGAGTGATCATGGCCGAACTCGGCTTCAGTATTGGATGATGGTCGATGGTGGGCTCGCAAGTGGACATCACGGAGAGCATGAGATGACTTTTTTGCCGTTGCAACCGATACGAGTGTCCATTGTCCAATCCCCAGCCATTTCGCGAGGTTTGAGTATAAAACAAGGGGGTGCGGCGAAGGGACTCGCTTAACACCAAAATACATCGTCA